TTTAATTTTGTTGCTAACACTCACATGTTGTGAGCAGCAGACAGATTTTTAAATGTAGTGTACTTTAGACTAAATATTTGTCAAAAGTTAATTGTTTTTAGTCCTTTGTAGTGTTTCTACCACACATTAGGCTAACCAGCTGCTAGCTATAGTTTTCCTTTAATGCATGTGTGTGCATTGAATGCGCAGACATGAGAGTGGCAGTAATCTACTTCTCTAACTCTTAGCAAGAGAGCAAATAAGCCTTTTTCCAAGAATGTAAACACAGGACTACTCCTGCTCTATAATAGTTAAGATGGCTTAAACCAGGGGTGGGGAACCTTTTTCCACTCAAGGGCCATTTCAATTTTTTCAACATCCTCCGAGGGCCGTACAAATGATTGACCTCTGCTTAAAGATACTGAAATCACAGCCCATTCATTTGCCCTTTCTTTCATGCTGTGCAAAGAAAAAGCAACCTCTCAATCCAGATATCTTACCATGACTCGTGCATTCACGTGCACGGTTGTGGCATGACCACCAAAACAGAAAGATATGGACACAAGATGTGTGCAAATGTATTTAGTTTCCTATCCATGTGAACATGATTTAAGTGGGGGGGACCTCACCTCCTCTAGGGGGGTGAGGGGGCATGCTCCCCCGGGAAGATTTTTTTTAAATGTTGAAGTTAAAAGCATCAATCTGGTGCACTTTGAGAGCAACATGAGGAGATATGGATACATCTCTCAACACCCATATAAAACAGAACTGTAAGCAGATTTCTTATTCTTTCTGGATATTTTACAAATCACTCTCCTTTCAAACTCTATTCTTGTTTATTAATATCAACTTTTTTTTACTGTCATTTTACCTGTTTACTTTATTCTCTTATTTTTTTATAACTATAATGATCATATAAAGATGTGCCTGGTTGTAGAAAAAGCTTCTTATATTCGTTAGCATAGCTAGCTAACCAGATGCTAATAACAACAAAGTTATTGACTTGATCAGTGTGACAGATGAACAGATCGCCACTGGGCTTTCAACTAAAGACACAGCCACGCAAAAACTGCGGCAAATTGCAGTACGCATAAGCGTACTGCAATTTGTGAAGTCCCAGCCCGGAGCTGCGTTCTGGTGCTCTCCGTCAGAACTGCACCCCTGTCAGACGAGACATATACCACGTGATGACACGTTAGGCTCGTGTTGTGTTCAAGGACCCTGACCTTGGCCAGGAAAAACAGGCACTCGCTTGTTTAATTATTTTGCGGTCTAGATTTATTATTTTTGTTTTCTTTTTTGCGTGTGTTACCTCGAGGGCCGTATCAAATTGTCTCGTGGGCCGTATACGGCCCGGGGGCCGGAGGTTCCCCACCCCTGGCTTAAACACAAAGAAAATGTACCAACAGGCATTGAGTTAACTTTAGGCTATCATTCTTGAAGCACTTTAAGCTTCAGTAGAACCATATCAAAAACCCTTTTAATATCCCCGACAAAGAAAAATCGATGAAACTAGACATTTCACAGATTATAGGGTGAAGGTCGACATGTACTTCATACGGCTTTGTCTGGGCCCTCAGGCTGTCATTTTAGTCCCTTAACATGCTGACTATTTCCTGTAGCGCTGACGAGGCTATTGAAGTTGGAGCACATGTTTTTATTCCACTTAAACGAGGACAGAGGGACTGTTTGTATCTCCTGTGTAGCACAGCAGTCAATTAGAGGACTCCACAGGTTACCCCTAGACGACTTGGCCCTGGAGAAAAATAGTTGTTATGTGCGCAACTGGGAGAGGGGGCATGTGAGCTGGTGGTTACAGCAGGACGAGGTCTTCAGACTGGACTGAGCGTCAGCTGCAGCTGTCATGTTGAGTTTCCCTGTTCATAAAATTGTAGACCTGATTAAAAACGCCTGGTACGTGTGAATACGCCTACACTAGAGTCACTAGTGATCATCTTTCCTCCTTCTCTCACTTCAACGATGGACTCTCTGCTTTGTCTGGTGTGGCATCAGACTGTTCCCTCTGTGGAGCTGTGTTTTGTGGAGCGCCGTGTTTGACTGTGGTCCTCTTGTGGCGGAGGTGTTCCCCGAATTAAACATTTACACAGTGTCTTGTTTAAGTCCTTCAAGGTCTGCTACTGTGACTACATTGACTGTGAAATATGTGTTTATACAGCACTTCTCAAAAGAGATTTTCAAACAATAAAACCAGATTATGAAACGAGACGTATACACAAATTATTTAGGGTTTCTCATAATAACGTGCCTGCTGTTGCAGATTTAATGAAACTGAATTTTAATGTTTCTGATAAACCAGTCTACATGAGAACCAACTGTACATCACATGAAGCACTTAAGGAATTATTTTACAGCTTCAGATAAAGATCAGAGACCTACTTAGGATTTTATTGTTATGTTCGATCATGAATTAATAACTTAGGTAACCTTTTAGTAGACTTGAGCAGTATAAAGGTATTACGGTATACCAGGACATTTAAAATTCCCAAGGTGATGTTATTCAATACTTTTAAAAAATGCAAATACTCCTCTTAAACTTATACAGTCACGGTTCTTACCAGCATATTTAAAGCCCAGCAGGACAAAGTTAGCTCCCTGCCGGGCATAAGCATCAGGGATTTCAAAACAAGTACAGATAAATACTATAATATACCGTATACCCAGGTGAAATGTCAGGAAGGTGCGAGAAAACACAGACCTTACAAGCCTTCTTTTTTGGTAGCAATACTCACGATGGACACAATTGTATGACTTGAGGTTATGGACTTTTGGCCCAGAAGTCTCAGACCTCTCTCTAAAGACTCTTTAAGTCCAGGAGCTGTGATCCTTTCACTCTGATCCTGCGCTCTGATCTCTGGAAGCGGTTGAGAAGAGAATTTTCCCTCGGGGATCAGTGAAGTACCACATATTTTTATCTCAATTCTTAGCTCAACTCAGAGCTCTCTTTTCCTGACAAATGTCCATTGTCACTTTAGGTACTGGAACCATATCTTTGAGGGTCTTACTCAGACCTGATTAAAATAAATTGTTGTCTATATTCACATGTGTTGTGGTTTGATAATAGGATAAAGCATAACCGTATGTGACCTCAACTGTTCCAGATGGGGATCTTGGTTGGGAGGAGGGAGCCATAACGTGCCGCAGGTTATAAGAAAACCTCGCCCCCCCCCCCACCCCCCCGCGATGGGGAGCACAGTCGTGTTCATGCTGAGGGAATGTGCTACTCCGGCATGCAAGCTGTTTACATGTAATGCTCCCATTAACATTTGGCTTAACCGTAGAAGGAAATGTGCGGCCATTAACCCCTATGAAATGACTCTGATTATGTGGCATAGTCAAAGTTAAAAGAGGAGAGAGAACCCAGACCAAGTCGTTTGTGGCGTAGAGGTTTCTCAGGGACCACCAGAGGCTTCAGTGTTGGTGGCCTCATCGCCTATTTATGAGGCATGTTGTCATTGTTGTGATGTAAATAAGCCTTGTGGAAGTTAACAGGGACGTGGGAAGCTGTTGCCTGTTGTTTGAGTGGATCTGATGTTATCCTCCTATCAAATAAATAGGAAGGAAGTGCAGAGCCTAGCTTTCTAATCCCAACAGAGTCAGTGGATCCCCTAACAACCACAACTGCTATTTTATTATGGCTACAACTAACAAGTATTTGATTTATCAATGAATCATTCCATCTACTAAGGGTAAGAAAATAGTTAAATATGCTCAATATAATCACGTTAAAATGTCTTGTTTTGTCCAACCAAGTCCAACAACTGATATTATTGGAAAAAAACGTTATGAAACCAAGCATTAGACATTTTCTTTACTGTAGCTGATGAAAGGTTTTATTTGTTAAAAAGGATAGGACTTTTCTTTAGATCAATTAGTCATTTTAGGTCTATACTTTATTATTCTTTTATCATCATTATTCAAAATACTGATCAATTCACAGGCATTCTGCTTATTGTCAAATTTGACTTTATAGTTTGATTTATTATTAACATCTTTTATAATTATCTTTTCACCCCTTTTCAACGTTTTTTCATTTCATTGACAACAATTGATACATGCAGAATCAGGGAAGTTACAGTGTTTCTACTATACAATCAGCTTACTTACCTGAGCCCAAAAAGGGCAGTTTTGTGAACTTAGCCCCCCCCCCCCCCCCTGCAGCAGTGAAACACACTGCTGATGTTCTTACTGCATTGCAGTCTTAACTTTTTTCATTTTGTACTGCAAGCCTTCAATTTGTTTGAACTTGTACTCCAAAGCTTGTTACAAAACGTGTGTGTACCTTTGACTGTCACCAGTACCATGCAGTCATGTTCAGGCCAAATGAGCAAAGATTAGAAAAGTGAATACAATTTTCCGAGCAAACGTCCACCGACTGTATTTCAGTAAAATCAGCGTCATGTGATTTAAAAACATTTAATACCATTGGTAATTCCGCCTAATATAAGTTTATGCATTAGTGTGTCAGACATAACAATGATAGTGGTCAGGATAATCTGGTCTAATATAAAAACTCAATTATAAATGAATGTCAAAGGCTATCTGGATGTGTGGCAAAGGGTAAAGCTGTGAAATAAAAGTAGGTAGTCATGTCAGCTGCCCTGTTGTGTTGGGGATGAGGTGTTAACAGTGTACTCTTCTGTTGGGAGAATTGCTCACCTCTCACTCTGGATACTGTGGTCTTATTATAGCCTCAGCGCTAACAGCAGGCCCTCTGAAAGGTCTGATTTGATTTCTTTGAAGTGCAGACTTCAAGTGATGTCCTAATGTGGCTATCTGAGATGTTATCAGCTTTCCCCTCATTTCATCAAAGCCCATTCTGCATTGTCATCATCCATACTGAATCGGTTTTGTCTTCATAGACTCCCTCCTTACTCTCTGGTCTCTCCCCCTTTTTTTTTCTCGTCAGGCGTTGTCAGATGGTTGATGCTGTTGAAAAAAGGTAATCACGGGTTTTAACACTAATCTGTTCCTGTGTCTCTTGTGTCTTGTCTCTCTGGCAGGTGAAGGATTGTAGGGACACCCCGTCTCACACTAAGCTATGGAATGCTCCCTGCACCCACCATCACTAGTCTCCAATCTTTGGACTGAGCTCAAAACGTTTAGTTAGCTGCTGTGCTTCTCCCCTCAAACTCTTTATAACCAGGGGACGAAGAAAAGGAGTGGACTTACCTCAACCGCTATAAGCGCACAGAGCACTTCTATTTTTTAAAGAATCAATAAGCTATTTTTGTTTTTTTCTCCACTTGGATTTTGCCCCCCGTGAAAACATATCAAGATGGATCTAGAGCCGTATCTGTGGATGGTGATCCTTGGCTTCATCATTGCCTTTGTTCTAGCCTTTTCTGTGGGCGCCAATGATGTGGCCAATTCTTTTGGCACAGCAGTGGGGTCTGGCGTGGTCACATTGAAGCAGGCCTGCATCCTGGCGTCTATCTTTGAGACCCTTGGCTCAATGCTGCTGGGGGCCAAAGTGGGCGAGACGATTCGGAAGGGCATCATAGACGTCTCCCTTTACAACGAGACGGTGCCTACACTCATGGCAGGGGAGGTCAGCGCCATGGTCGGTAAGTTTGGCAAATCTTTACATCAAATATGGAGCTGAAATGATATGTTGATTATTCTATATTCAAGAAAAATACATTCTCTAATTTAAGTTGCCAAATGATCATATATGACAGTCACTTGACTATCTTTTGGTTTTTGAAAAAACATGTAAGAAAATGTCCCCTTGGGTTCTGGGAAATCAAAGCCACCAATTAAAAAGAAAAGTGTAATCCAGGGAGTTGGGTAATTGCTGCTTTTGACTCACTTTAGAAAGTCACACTAATGAGTAATAATTAAATGACATATGAAACAATTAGCAGATCATGAAATGAATTAACCTGTAACTTTCTTTTGATTTGCCAAGTTTCTCTATTTACGGTTCAGGTTCTTTATTTGTACCCATAGGTAGATTTTGTTTGCAGAGAAAAAGGGGATCCATCCTGACACACTCTAAAAACAAACACAAACAACAGACACATCTCTAATAAAAGGACTAATAAAAAGTACAAGTACACCCTGCTTCGTCAAATCTCAAAATATTTCTAAAACATTTAAGAAGAAAAACACTAGAACAAAACACTAGTACAATCATGGACATTCAAAATACCTAATTAAATAATTAAATAGGGATCTGTGTGACACTCCTATGATGTGTTAATTTGTGAAACAGCTGCTGGGATAAAACAGTTTTTATACCGCTTCGTTCTACTCTTTGAAGGAAGGAAAAAGCTTAAATTCTGTCTTTGTCAACTGAAAATATTTTGGATTTGTACAGTTGGTCGGAATAAATAATAGATAAAAAAATGTTGTAACAATAATCAACAAATGAATCTGATAGTATAAAGTTAGTTGCAGCTTTAAAATATGTATCAACAGAAACCTCTGTGATTACCACTGTAAAGATGTAGAACGTGTTTGCAGAGTAAAATACTTCCATAGGTTAACATATGCTGTTGACGTTGTTTGGGATATTTGTTGAATAGATGAATTTTAGGACTGCAACAGATATTTAACAGTGCCTATCACAAGTTTTACAGTCCATTATCTAATCGCTATTTTTATATAAATGGTCCAAACCTCAAACATTTTTATTTGCTATTACATAAAACAGAGGAAGCCAGAAAATCCTCTCATTTGAGAAGCAAGAATTAAATGTTAGGCATGTCTGCATGTTGCTCATAATTTATCTACTTTCAGATAAACCTTATGGGAGGTTTCGCTAATGTTAATCAAACTGGCAGCTTTTAAACATTTCCAGAGGAAAGCCTGCCATTGTCCTCATATTTAAACACATTTACAGTAAAACACAAGCCAGTACTGTTGTGTATTCACATTGGCTTTACACATCAACAACAGATTACCTTAGTGAATGAATGGAGCAGCACAATGGGGCCCCCATTGAGACAATGCCATTTTAATGACAGAGTGACTGCTGGGAAATGGTGATAAATAAAGGCAATGTTATGCACGGGGGATTCCCGTGTCACTGGAAATGTAGTTGTGTTGCCGCCAAGAGTTGGGAGTGTTTGGGAAACACTGACCAATTTTTCTTTATCTCAAACAGCATTATTGTTTATACAAAATGTGAATTTGTACCTTCTTAAACGGATTCACTTAAATCAGGAAAATGCATCCAGAAGGTTTACAGAAAACAAAATATACAGTATATGTCAATTACTAATTTAGTGCTTTAAAGAAAACCTCCAAGGCCTGACAAATGATCATTCAAATAATGAATAATGAAATAATGTGTTGCCTGATAAATTGACCTGTGGGAAGAGATTGTGTTAACAGATCCTTTGTGAAGGATGTCTTGTTAAATCAATGTTTGTCATCATTAGCTCCTGGCTACAGATTCATTTTGTGCTGCAAGCTTTCAGTAAATCACATTAAAAGTATTTATTAGAGAACTAAAATCCCATTAAATTACAAGCACTACATTAACTTTATAATCTCATTTGGCAATTATACATTTGAGCGGTTTTCAAGATTATATTGTTTAACTACTGATACAGACTCATCTCTGCCAACTTTTACAAACAATTCAAAATGTATTAAATCCAGGAAAGTAAAAGACAAACTGTGGATAGATTTCACCATTTTATATTTATTAGCACAAAATGAAAACAATTATGCATTTTATTGATGTGGCATTATTCCTCTAGTTTACAGCATGTATTAGTGGTTTCCCAGAACAACATTTTGTATGTGATAATGTTGGGGGAAAACTAAATAAACGATGAAATGCCTGAAAGATGTCTGAGATTTGTGCGTCTGTTTCCCAGGGTCGGCCGTCTGGCAGCTGATCGCCTCCTTCCTCAAACTGCCCGTCTCTGGGACTCACTGCATTGTTGGCGCCACCATCGGCTTCTCCATGGTCGCCATCGGCACCAGGGGCGTCCAGTGGATGCAACTTGTGAAGATTGGTAATGACTAAGATCAGTTTGTGTGTGTTTTTACAATGTTTACGATTGAAAAATGACATCATGTAAACCAAATCTCGCTACAGTGAGATATCCAGTACGGTCACAGTACAGTTCTCGGTTTTCTCTGAAAAACATAAACCGAAATAATTAGTTTGATTTAACAAGGATGTCTCCCTCGACCATTTTACACAGCGTGTAATCTCTACTACAAGAGGCAGAGTTCACAACGTCTCCACCATTAGTGGTCTCAATGGACCAGGATGCAGTGCAGTCCTGAGATTTACTTTAAAGTGAAATAAACTCTTATTTATCTCAGCTAAAGGGAGAACCTCTGGCTATTGCAAACACAATCATTTTAAGAAATGTAAAACAATACTGAAGTAAATAAGGAACAGAAGTGAATAATTGGAGCAAAAGGACAGCTGTAACCCTGAATAATGGCTTCCTGATGATCCTTTATCAATGGGTGACTGTAGTCTGCTCCTTTTTTTGCTGATTATGTTTTTCTCCTCCCTCTCCAGTGTCATCGTGGTTCATCTCCCCTCTGCTCTCTGGACTCATGTCTGGACTCCTCTTCTTGCTCATCCGACACTTCATCCTCAATAAGGTAGGTTAACAAAAGGGCACATATACTCCCTAAACGTTTTTTTTCGAAGATGAAATGGCAATGTTGTAACACTAACTGTGACTTTATCATCATAACAAAATTGTAGCTTCAAAGAATTAAAACCAAAATATCTCTTAATTTTCCTTTACTAAAAAAAGAGGAGAATCAGAGTTGTTTCCTGTGCTTCGCCTGCTTTATCAGGAATAGACCGTCGGCACACATCAAGCCCAGTCTACTTAATCAAACTTACAACTACATGGTTTGAAAGATAAAAATGAGGTTATATTTGGCTTCAATAGATTGACTAAACTATGCTGAAATAGCAACTGCTTTCTTTGAGCAAGATAAGACTAAAATACCCAAGTTAAGTAAAACCTAACTTAAAAAAACTGGACAAAAGAAAACGTTTTCTAATTTGTATTTCTGGTTAAATTATATTTTTAGCCCAAAAGTATGTTGTAAACATGTATGTTTTTAAGCTTTTAAACGAAGGCACTGGAATTCTTAATTATTTTTAAGTAGTAGTAGTAGAACCTTTATTTATCCAGGAAAATCAATTAAGAACACATTCTTATTTACAATGATGACCTGACAGGAGGCACAGGCTTCCTGAGGGGATGGGGTTTGGGAGGAAAAATAAATAAAAAGACAGACTCCGGGCACTACAGAACCCAGGAGACAACACAAACACATAAACTTTAACTAACTTTAAACTAAATCATTTCATAAACGTCCATAAAGTGTAGGGTTAGAGTTTATCGGTCCACACATTTGAGTAATACAATCTAGATGCAAACAAACATACACGTGTACACACAGACCTGTCCACAGGAGTTCAGCACAGCTTGGCCAAACCTCCATTTGGCAACACTCGCAGATCTGTTGTTGTGTAACAGGCCATCTCTGGCAGTGAGGAAGAGAAAAGTGTGGTAGATCATGTGGAGGTCAGGACTGCAGGACCCTGTGTCAATGACTCCTCCTCCGATGTGTTTAGTCATATATTCTTTGTATAGATTAGATTTGTTACTTTAAAAAAAAAAAATTCATTTAATCGTTTATTTGAACATTGATGAACACTTTAAAACAAAATAATGCTTACAATTGTAAATGAGCCGGATTTTAGCTTTGAGCTAATTTCCATCCATAGTCCCGTCACATACAACATTTAAGAACATGACATTTATATACATAGCAACAATAAATACATGATATGCAGGAAGAGCATGAGCATCATACAAGCATTTACCACATGGCAGTACAATGTAGCAGCTATGATATATAAAGTGCAAGATAAGATAAAAGTGCAAGAGGAGATACCCCTGTATAAAAGTGCATTTAGCGGTGATTACACATCTGTTTGTTGCTCAACCATTCTTTAAGTTGTCCTTTAAAACCATTGAGAGTGGGACAATCCCGTATCTCAGTTGGGAGGCTATTCCACAATGAGCTGCCTTTAATGGAGAGGACATTTTGTCCAAAAGTGGTCCGTCTATGGTGGACTTCACAGTCTCCTCTGGTTTCTGACCTAGTGCAGCGTCCAGTGTGTTTTTTCCACAAAAACACTAAACATTTATAAATAAAGCATATATTTTTAAAAGACTTAAAATGATCAAAATTCAAGAAATTGTGTTTTTCAAGGATGGTACAGTGGTGGTATGAGTTTGGCTTTATGTCAAACACCTGGATAGCTCTCTTGTACAGCTGTTCTATTGGTTTAAGGTTTGTGGCACAAGCAAACGACCAGTTTGTCAAACAGTATTCAATGTGGGATAGAATCATACAGTGGAGGTATGACTTTGCAGCATTGACCGTTAAGAAAGGTCTAATTTGTTTAAAATGTTGCAAGTTGAATGTAATGCTATTGGATACTTTCTTAATATGTTTCTTAAAAATCAAGTTCGATTCCATTATGGCTCCAAGATACTTCAACTGGGGGACTAGTTCTATTTCTGCTCCGTTTAAAAATACATTGGATCCTTCGATTTTGACTGGTCGTTTACTGAACATCATGCATACTGTTTTTTTTGCATTTAACTGTAAGCAAATGTTGTTCAGCCAGTGTTGAACCTTGTCCAAAGCATTTGAGAGACAGGATGAGATAATTTCAGTGTTTTTCCCATGTACAAAGATGACCGCATCATCGGCATACATTTGCACATTCAACTCAGGACATACATTAGGCAAGTCATTAATGTACAGTGAAAAAAGTAACGGTCCAAGAATGGAACCTTGTGGAACCCCAACAGGGTTGACAAGGTAGGGGGATTTGGCTCCGTTGACCAAAACACACTGTTTTCTGTTCGATAAGTAAGACTTAACCCACTGTATTGAATCTGCCGAAAAATTGAAATACGTCAGCTTTGTGCAGGGTTCGTACGGGTGCTTGAAATCCTTGAAAATGCTTGAAATTTGACGTGGTGTTTTCAAGGTTGGGAAAGTGCTTGAATTTTGGGAATGGTGCTTGAAATTGAGATAAAGTGCTTGAAAATGTAAATGCTTTACTTTTACAATAAATTGCTGTCTGACTGAATAGTTCGCTTTTTAGATTAAAAGAAAAGAATTGCTTCGCTTTTACATAAAACAGCTCCGCTGCGGCCTTCCCGCGCTATGCACGCGACCTGCAAGTGTTTGTGTTACGTGTGACCTGGGCATTCTGATGAGAGTGATAGATGACTGTGTGCCAGGAGGTTGCCGTTTCAACGAGCGTTGGCTAGCAGAAGATAAATACAAGCCATGGCTAAGACGAGGGTCAAGCCCACGAGTAGCCTCCTGCAAAGTTTGCAAAAATAACGATGGGAGAGTCTGCGCTGACGAGCCATATGAAAGGTACGCCGTATAGCATTTTAGATTAGGCTAACGTTGCATGTTACGTTTGTTTAAGCTAACGTTAGCTAGCTGAATAGCAAACTCGATTGAGAGATAATATTAATTGCAGGGGACGATCATTTCAGAGGAGCGTACCTATGTTATGTGCGTTACAGTCGCCATCCTGTGGTGTTCAGATGATGAAGCACTCACGGCATTGCGTGTTATAGTCACGAAATATAATCTCTTGATTCGACACAGAGCGATTTTGAAAGCAATGTATTTCTACTGGTAGTCAGTGGCGTAGCGGAGGCCCCCGCACCCCCCGCGGTGCGGGGGAGCCCCGGAGCTTAGGGGGCCCCACCCCCACTGTAGGCTATCCTCTTAGATTTCGTAACGCGGGAACAGGGTGCAGAGGGCGGGGCCCCCCCACTCCCTGCTATGTTGCTACGTCATGTGTACGCTGCCTGTAGTAGTACAACAGTGTATCATTATAATTATTTGCTCATCTGCGATAGGGCTAGCCGGCTGATAACTAATGTTCATTGGCAGGCTGGGCAGCGTTCAAAACAAAGCGGGAAGCATTGCTCATATAAATAACGTTCATTAGTTGCGTTGCCGGTAAACATGAAAAATGAAGCGCCACTACCCAAGCGGTGCTCAGAAAAGCAAAATGAGAGCGAAAGCCGAACAGGAGAGGGCAAAACTACCTAAAATAACGTCATTGTTCCGGCAGGCAGCAAAGGTAGACGTAGACTCTAACGTTACTGCAGATAGACCGCTAGCAACCCCCCCTGGCCCCCGGCCGTCAGCTCCGAGTCCAGGCAGACAGCCCAGCAGCCCCGTTACAGCCGAGCCAGCTAGTCGTGCCTCGCGCTTCGAGACAGGTTAGACATTAGAATAATATAAAGTTTTATTCGCCATAACCAGTATGCTACAGGTTACATTGGAATTGGAATCTAATCCGTTAATTTTTGCAGGTCAGCAAGAAGTCAGCTGTGCCCCCTCCGAGGCCAGTTCAGACATAGGCATAGACAAGGCTGCCCAGCCAGCTAGCCGTGCCCCCACAGACCCCAGCAGCCCCGTTACAGCCGAGCCAGCTAGTCGTGCCTCACGCTTCGAGACAGGTTAGAATAATAGAAAGTTTTATTCGCCAATCGCCATAAACAGTACGAGTCAGTATGCTACAGGTTACATTGGAATTGCAATATAATCCGTTCCTTTTTGCAGGTCAGCAAGAAGTCAGCTGTGCCCCCTCCGAGGCCAGTTCAGACATAGCCAAGGTTGCCCAGCCAGCTAGCCGTGCCCCGACAGTGACAGCAGCTCCCACCCACCCCAGGGACACGTTGGCCAGCGACAACTCTGTGACTGAATACCCTACTGATAGGGGGAAATTCCCTGTAGATTTAGAAGACGATGATGTTAAACGGTACATTCTGAATAACGGGCCATGCAAGCCTGAAGGGCCATTCAAAAGGGATGGGAAGGGAAGGTGCTTTTCAAAAGAGTTCTATAACAAAACATCCAAAATTGGATGTAGAATTCCACGAAAGTGGCTATGTTACTCGCCATCTATGGACCGGGTGTACTGTGAGCAGTGCTGGCTGTTCGGTGACAGACCGTCTGCCCATCACCTCCACCAAGCGTGGAGAATAGGAATAAATGATTGGCAGGGTCTCTCTAAAAAGATTAAGGAACACGAATTCTCTCGCTCTCATTTGGCAGCATGTGTCGTGTATGATACGTGGAAAAATAATCTGACCATTGACGCGCAAATATCATCTGAGTTTAAGAGAGAGGTGGGGTTTTGGACCGAGGTCCTAACCAGAATAACTGATGTTACACTAACACTGGCCTCTCGCAACTCTGCTTTCCGGGGTCACAGAGAGAAAATAGGTGATATAGATAATGGTAATTTCTTATCTACCATAGAACTTATGGCGCGTTATGATCCAGTTCTGCAAAGGCTTATTGAAAGCAAAAAGAAGGTGCACTACCTAAGTCCTCAAACTCAAACGAAATAATTTCATTGCTATCGAAAAAAGTGCAGGACACAATCATTACAGACATACAGAATGCAGAATTCTATTCGATTATAATGGATACTACCCAGGACATTTCAAAAGTAGACCAACTGAGTCAAGTGTTCAGATATGTTACTATAGCAAATGATGAAAATGGAAACCCTACAGAGGTGAAAATAAACTAAAGTTTTTTGGGCTTCCATGCAGTCACAGACCAAACTGCTGCAGGTCTAGAGAGAGAAATTCTCGAATCGATGGAGAGAAAGGGGATACTACTTGGGAAGTGCCGCGGACAAGGATATGACGGGGCTAGCAATATGAGTGGCGTCTACTCCGGTGTACAAAAACGCATAAGGGATAAAGAGCCCAACGCAGTGTACATTCATTGTGCTGCGCACAATTTAAACCTTGTACTCAATGACGCATGCCAAAATATACCTGAGATAAAAGACTTCTACGACACTGTTGAAAGGCTATATGTATTCTTTAGTGGAAGCATCAAACGATGGGAGCTTTTGGAAACACACCTCTCAGTGCCCAAGGCTGGCCAGCCTACACTGAAGAGACTATGCCCGACACGATAGGCATCAAGACAAGACGCCGTCCAATCATTGCGGTTCCGTTATGCTGACATTATGCAAGCGCTAACTAAGATAGACTTGCTCTCCAAAAAAAGCGAGGAACGTGCCGAGGCGACTGGCTTGAAAAAGGCCATGGAGAGCTTTGAGTTTGTTGTAATGACTGTAATACAGGGCAAGGTCCTTGAAACAGTCAACATTGTGTCCCAAGCTCTCCAGCGCAAAGACGTGGACCTCTTACAGGCGACAGCAATGCTTGGTAACGCAACCGATACACTTGCCCAACTCCGAGGAGAGTTTGATGGCTTAAAAGCGCACGCGCAAGACCTGGCATCCTCATGGGGTGTCCACAGTCTCTTCAAAGACAGACGCGCAAGGCGCACAAAGAGGCACTTTTCAGAGCTTTGCGAGGACCAGCGGCTCCAAGACCCAGGGGAGCATTTTAGAGTGGTGGTATTTTACGCAAATATCGATATTGTCGTTGCCCAACTCAAAAATCGATTTGTTGGAATGAGCGAAGTTGCACAGCGATTTTCTTTTCTGCTTCCCCGCGAACTTTTGCGCGCAACAGACAAGGATCTGTCTGAGTCCGCAAGTGCTTTATCAGGCCAGTATAAAGACGACCTGTCAGCCGAGTTTCCTTTCCAGATCCTGTCCCTCCGTAATGCTCTTAGGCCTACTATAAAGAAAATTGAGTGTGGAACAATCAAAGACCTTGCACAAACCCTGCTCATTGAAAATCAGTCCATTTTGCCAAGTATCCCCGATGTTGCCACATCACTGAAATTGTTTTTAACTATACCCGTGACTGTTGCCAGTGCTGAGAGATCTTTCTCAAAACTTAAATTAATAAAGACATATTTGAGGAGCACAATGTCGCAAGAGAGACTGTCTGGGATAGCAGTCCTTAGTATTGAGAGCCGACGCGCGCGCAGTATAGATTTAAAGACTGTTATACAGGACTTTGCGCAGAAGAATGCCAGGAGACGTGCTCGTATAAAATAATAGGCCTACAAAGCAGCTCCTGATTGCATTCTCTTTGTAGCCTATATAGGATGTGTTTTATTTGCTTGTTTTTTGTAGGCTACTTTTCTTTTATACAGAATGTTATGTGAACCGTTCCGTTGTGTGAACTCCAATGATGATAGGCTATAACGTTCTACAATATACCTTCATGTTACAAAAAATACACAGCCACTTGTTTGTATTTGTCAATTATGTTTCAATCAGATGTATATTATTATACAGTTCCTACTGACCTTACTGTTTAAATCAGATGTATATTATACAGAAAGTTCTTACTGACCCTATACTGTTTAAATCAGATGTATCTATACAGAAAGTTCCTACTGACCTATAGGCCTACTGTTTACAAAAGATGCCTGAAAAAATAAACATTTAAAAAAGTGGCCGCGATGTCTATCCCATGTCACTCTATTATTGATTTAGGGGAGGGGGCGGGGCCCCATGGTCCGACCTGCGGGGGAGCCCCGAAATATTGCGCAACGCCACTGCTGGTAGTATGTTTCGTGCCTAAACCAAATGTGACTTGCTCTATCGAAATCAGTCACATTGACCCGAAGGCACATTTTTGTTTGTATTACTGGTCTGGGGGAAGCTCGCGAGTGTGTGTGTGTGCAATTGTTTCCCGGGGAAACACTCACAAGAAACACCGGCTGTTATGCTTGCTGTGATGTTAAGTTACTCAGTTCTCCGCTTGTAATTATGCCGAAGCTTCAAAGTTGTATTTATCATCTGAATTTGCCGAAACAAGTTTAATATTCTGAAAGCCAAGAATTGTTTATTTGAAAACAGATGAAAACAAACTGTCTTTATATAAAATTGAAGTATTATACAAGTAAAACTACATTTTGCTTTAATCCCATGTAATTGTAGAAGAACACAGTCTTCCTTTGAAGATGTATAAGTCAGGTGTCTTGAGTAGTCAAAATTACCTACAAATCATTGTACACATTTGTAAATATTATTTCCCACTTGTTTCCATTGTGAGTCTATTTCTATGCAGCTCTGCGTGATTTTGTGGCTACAATTCAGACTAATACGCTACCAGAGGTGGAATAAGTACTCAGGTATTGTACTTGAGTAAAAGTATAAGTACTCAGATCTTGTAGTGAAATTATAAGTACTCAGATCTTGTACTTAGCAAAAGTAGAAGTACCAGAGTGTAGGAATACTCTGTCACAGTAAAAGTCCTGCATTCAAAATATTCCTCAAGTGAAAGTAGAAAAGTATTCTCATCCAAATATAGTGAAAGACAGTAAAAGTAGTCATTGTGCAGATTGGTCCATTTCAGAATAATATATATGATATGTTTTATAATGATTGATCATGAAAGTGTTCTCAAAGCTGGTAAAGGTGCAGCTAGTTTGAATGACTTTGTATACCTCTGAACTGTAGAGGAGTAGAAGTACACCATGTTCCTCTGAACTGTAGTGGAGTAGAAGTACACCATGTACCTCTGAACTGTAGTGGAGTAGAAGTACACCATGTACCTCTGACTTGTGTTTACTGCCAACCTAAAAGTACCTCAAAAATAGTAATCAATAATGTATTGAAAAGTTATTTGGCTGATTGTTTTATATTGGCTCAGACAGGTTATATGGGACATACAGATGGGTCACTCATTTTGAAATATTAAACTTAGTTTTCTTTTCTTTAATTTTTCATCCTCGTGTAGAATGCTATCACGAAACACACATTTGGTTGTTTATAGCATAAAGAACATCTGATTTAATGTGAGGTAGGGAAATAATCATTTGAGTATGTGTATATAAATATGTAATTTACAACAGCTGTAAGATGCTGGAAAATGCACCTTGAAAATGCTTGAAAAGTGCTTGAATTTCACTTTGGAAAAGGTGTAAGAACCCTGTGTAAGGAGCACTTGGTGGTCAACAGTGTCAAAAGCCTTCCTGAGATCAAGGAAGACAGCACCTACACATGGGCTCGTGTCCAACATACATTTAACCTTTTCCACAAAGACACAGTTAGCTGTCTCAGTGGAGTGGTGAGCACGAAAACCAAACTGCATTGGGTGGAGTGGAGCGAAACCTTTGTCTAAATGTTTGGTGATTAGTTTTGACACGACTGATTGGTTTGTGGAGGTGAGGCCCAAAACCTCTGCAGGGCGTTCATATTGCACTTTAGATCATACTAGCAGTAAACAGCACATTGTGAAAGAATTAAGTGTCTTACTTCGTCACTGACCTAATTTTCTCTCCACACATTGAACCTGTTCTGAATATCTCACTTCCCTTTTTTTCACTTCCCAAAGAGATTACATTTTTAAATCGTATATTCAAAAATAACTAATCAGAACCATTGAAAAGCTTAAGTTCACAGAATGTTTTGCGCTTTTGGTAAAAAAAAGAATGACTGAAACTATTTACAGGTTATCAAAATAGTCAATCAATGTTAATGTGTTTTGCTCCACAGGACGACTCCGTCCCTAATGGCCTGCGAGCGCTGCCTGTCTTCTATGCGTCCACTATTGGAATCAACACTTTCTCCATCTTGTACACTGGAGCCCCAGGTAATGATACTGAGATACTAACTCTGTTCATTTAGTCTGACGCACGTACCATCAAATCAGCTCAAACCTTCAAAAATTCCTTTAAAGTTGTTTCGAGAGTTTGAGAAGATTATAATACTTCAAAACTATTTCAAAATGTTATTTTCTTACATTTTCTTATTGTCTGTCCATTTATTGCAGTGCTTGGGATAGAGATGCTCCCGGTGTGGTCGATCTTTCTAATTACTTTAGCCGGGTCGCTGATCTGTGGAGCTGTGGTCTGGTTTTTGGTCTGTCCCTGGATGAGGAGGAAAATAGCGGGTAGGTGTCTGCGCCTGCTGTGTGTATGTGTGTGCTTGTGTGTGTTCAGTCTTTCTCACGCCATCTAAAAAGCCGGGCACTCTGACCCAGGCCTCACAACGGAGCCTCAGCGCCTGTTTGCCCACTCTGTGCTCCAACACCAAACAAGGGATGCCAGCGGATGTTTTCTCTAGTTGCCTTCTGCCAGAGACACTGAAGGCACCAAAGAAACTCTGTGAACTCTGAGGAGTGCTCCTGTTGCTTTCCTTACACACTTTGGAAATCCTCTAGCTTCATATTTCCTTGGCCTGATGCAGGGGTTCAGATCATGGCCTGGAGCTGGAAAGCTTTCGGAATTATTTCTCTAATGGAAAAATCAGCTTGCAGCACAGCAGACGACACTGTAAAACATGACACAGTAAATAAAACAGTGGAAAGAGCAGCTGCTGGATATAAGCAAGGCAGTCTGTCTTTGAATGTTTTACTTAATGTCATGCAGACAAATAAGAACTCTTGTTTATTTCAACAATCCAAAGACTAAGATCAGTCTGAGTAATACTTCCAAATTAAGACATTATAAATGCTGATATGAAAATATAATATGAGATAGTCTCACAGTTTGACAGACGTTAAACTAAAGAACTAAAGAGCTGCTCTTATTGAGGCAGCAACATTGAGGCTTAAAATAGAACGATTGTTTGTCAAACTTTCCGAGCCTGCACGCGGCCGATCTGTTGCTCAACGTGTTGCGACCTCTGAATGCCGGTGAGGATTATAGGTGATATTATCGCTCCTAATCTGGATATTGCTGCATCCGTCAAACTGAAGCAGGTGGTGGCTGACTTTATGTGTGTGTACTGAGGGGTGTGTGAGGAGTTGTGGGGCATCAGGTCAGTCAGCACTGGGATTAGTCAGGATCAGCTGATGGCTGTACTTGTGTTTGTGGAATGTTGCTGCATAGTTTTCTCAACCAAAATCAGGCAATTTATTATGAATCATTATTGATATTACTTCAGAGTAATGATACACTTTCACTAAAGACGCTTTGGAACAATTTAATTGAAAAAAATGATCTGAGTTTCAACTTGCCAAATTATTGATTCACTTGTGAAACTGTTGAACTGATTTCATCAGACGGCTCTAATTGGAAATAATCCAAAAAAGCTTTACTGTAAAACCTCAGTCTTTACTACCCGCCGTTTGACTTTATAATGTTCCACTTTCATACTGTAAATGATTACCTAGACATATCAAAATAAAACCCTCACATGTTAATACTAGGGCTGTCAAGTTAACGCGTTAATAATTATTTTAACGCGATTAACGCATGTGCATTTTTTGTCCTCGGCCGCCCTGTAGTTTCAGAGCGCATCGAGTTTAAAATACCATATACAATCCAAGCACACTGCTGATGCCGACAGCCCCGCTCCTGCCGCCCGCTTGCGGCAGACCACACTTGAAAGTGTGCGGGGAGACGCCTGGACACGTCTACGAGCAGCAAACTTTCAACAAAGGTCGCTAAATGGGTGGCTACAGCTTGAAGGCCATTTAACATTGTGGAGGACGAGAGGCTGCGTGATATAATTCGGGTCGCATCCAACGACTGCACTTATGAATTGCCTTCCAGAGCCACCACTGTGTCGAAAATACACAACTTGTATGAAGTCCAAAAAGTGAAAGTAGAGGAGGATTTAAGAAAGACTCACCGGAGACTATTGGACTTCACTCAGTAATGACAGTCACCTCGGGATCACAGCGCATTATTTTGACCCACAGTGGGAACTTCAGTGTCATGCTTTGACAGTTATGAAAACAGGGGAGCGGCACACACACACACACACACACACACACACACACACACACAACACACACACACACACACACACACACACACACACACACACACACACACACACACGAGAGAGGTTCCAGGTTGAATTGAGGCGAATATTTGTAATGTTCAGAGGTTGTTGTGTTTAATATTCATGAGCATATCATAATATCATTTTCAAATGATAATAAACAAACATTTGCATAAAGCATATTTGTCCACTCATATGTTGATAAGAGTATTCAAAACTTGAAAAATATCCCTCTAAGGTACATTTAGAACAGATAAAAAATGTGCGATTAATCGCGATTTAACTATGGACAATCATGCGATTAAATATTTTAATCGACTGACAGCCCTAGTTAATACCATTATCGTATTTTAAGAGTTTAATTAGTATACAATGCCCTGTAAACTCTGTTAGCATTTGTAGCGAGCGTTTTCAGTTTTATCCGGTGTTGATAGTATGTCCAACTAAACCCTCCTTTGCTTGATTTCCTCCAGGTGGCCTCAAGAAGGAGCAGGCTCTAGCACGGATCTCTGATGAGAGTCTGGACAAGATCCCGGAAGAGGAGGAGGAGAGCCCCGTGTTTAGGGAGCTCCCAGGGGCCAAGGGCACAGACGAGGCCGTGCTGCCGCTCACTGGGGGGGGCAGTGACCGCGAGTCCATCGGAGACCTCAACAACCTGGCTAATGGAGGCAACATCCTGCCAAACGGCAGGGCGTACGGTAAAACTGAAATAATATTATTTTTCAAAGACAACAATATGTCTTGTGACTTTCGAGAGATATAATTCAATCAATCAATCAAGATAGTTCATCCCTTTTCTTCCTGCAAAATAATATGTATTATTTACATGTCTAGTTCCCTCTCGGTTTCTCTATGTTTAGGGAAACCCGATGTCAATGTGCTGTGATAGTGTATCTCTTAACTTGCAAAAGTTGTGCTTCTACAACAACTTTCAAACTCTTTCTCCTTCAGGCCGGACCAACTCAATGACCAACGGCTGCCTCAAGTCCCCCATCTCTAACGGCAGCTTCACCTTCGATGGCCACATGCGCAGCGATGGCCAAGTTTACCACACAGTGCACAAGGACTCTGGTCTGTACAAAGACCTGCTCCACAAAATCCACGTGGGCCGCATGGACGAAAGCGACCGCTCTGGCTCCAACGCCGGCCCGGCAGACAACAACTACCGCCTGCTGCGGCGCAACAACAGCTACACCTGCTACACCGCGGCTATCTGCGGCATGCCCGTCCAGCCGCTCATTCGCTCAGAGTCACGCGACGACAGCGAGAAGCTGGTGGGAGAAGGAGGCGGCAGGAGCAACAGCGTGTCCTACACCAAGAAGAGGATACGCTACGATAGCTACTCGTCCTACTGCAACGCTGTGGCCGAGGCTGAGATTGAGGCCGAGGAGGGTGGGGTGGAGATGAAGCTGGCCACAGAGCTGGAAGGAGTGGATGAAGATGGGGCTCCCGCTCCGGTGCCTCTGGAGGACTTGGCCGAGGAGGAGGAGAAGGACAGGCCTGAGGTGTACCTGCTTTTCCACTTCCTGCAGATCCTCACCGCCTGCTTCGGCTCTTTTGCCCATGGAGGCAACGATGTCAGGTACTGCCTCCTGCTGCTCACAGGACATACAGCATCCCATACAAACACTGCACTCGTCAAAGCACATCTCCCTTGTAGCAGCTCATCTATTTCAAATCAAAATGTATTAAAAAAACTAAGATATATGTTATCAGTTCCAAAATTCACACATTCTTTTCTCATCTTACAAACAATTCTGCTTCATTCCATATTTGTTGGTGTTTATCCTTTCAAAAACTAAATTGTCACTGATGTTCTGAAAAGTTAGCTTAGCAATTACCGTACCTAAAGGGAGGTCCACACCTGTATGAACAATGTGCTCTAGAAGCAATCTAACAGCACCATTAAAACATTGATATCCCTTTAAACAATATATATAACAACGAGGTCTTCAAGGCTTTAAGACCCTCAATAGAAGCTTTGAATATAAAATAACAATACATGAAATACACCCCACACAAGGCCTTGTGTAGATTATTAACAATAATATTAATTGTCACCAACAAATGGTGTTCCATATTTAACACTAAAATAATCATCTTTTTATTCTCTCACCTTCGCAGTAATGCCATCGGGCCCCTGGTGGCGCTGTGGATGATCTACGATCAGGGGGGTGTGATGCAGGATGCTGCCACCCCCCTCTGGCTGCTGTTTTACGGCGGTATAGGCATCTGCGCCGGCCTGTGGGTGTGGGGCCGTCGCGTCATCCAGACCATGGGAAAAGACCTGACCCCCATCACCCCGTCAAGGTGAGAAAGCCACCACATGGGGGGGGGGGGGGGGGCAGGGGAGTGTCTAGGGCTGTATTTTGTAAATGGGTGAGAAAGAAAGTGTTTATACGGAGGAGGTCAATTTTTCAACTTGTTTCAAAAAGCCTCGACATGCTGACACACACAGGTCCATCCAGTGAAACAGCGTCCTTGGTAAGTGTTTGGTGCACACAGCTCTATTAGAATGCACACACACATTTTAATAAAGTAATTTCATGTCATGGCAGTTCAACAGTTAAATCCACTCTGCTGGCAGCAAATTGCAGCACAATCATGATTAGAGCCCCTGCTCTGTTTCCTCTGGTGCTCCCTGTTATAGGTACAGTAAACTTGGCTGACTAATCAAGGGCGTTTGTTTGAGCATGCACTGATCACCCACTCTCTACTCCCCAAACAGCTGCCACTGCAGGAAAAAGCATTTTTACCACATATGCGTTTTGCAAGTACAATGTTGTACTTACATTATTAGTTTTATCTCTTAAGGCTTACATGATAATTATATACAAATATCTATCTATCAAGAGGGCAGACCTTTTTTTATATTTTAACAAAATGTATTCACATATTACCGGACAAGTAAACAGTATTTGATGATAAATATGAACATCTATATAATATAAATGTAATTGAATCTGTTGACAGTAATCACAGTCTTCCTACTTGGACTGTTATGTATAGAAAGAAATCTGCTGTAATCATTTCTTCTGCAGTAGCCCTTTGTATAGAGAATGAAGTAGGAATGATTCCTTTTTCTTCAGACCTTCTTCACTTCTTACATAATAATTCAGAATAAATAACAAGTCTTATGGGCGACAACACATGAAGCCCTGGGGCGAACTACATCCTACAACCTTAGCAGCAGACATCACGCAACATAAACCCTGCTGCTCTTCGGCCCTTTAGATTGATCTCTCGTTCTCTGTCCCCTCGTTTTCCCACGCAATGGTGTGTGTGTGTGTGTGTGTGTGTGTGTGTGTGTGTGTGTGTGTGTGTGTGTGTGTGTGTGTGTGTGTGTGTGTGTGTGTGTGTGTGTGTGTGTGTGTGTGTGTGTGTGGTGTGTGTGTGTGTGTGTGTGTGTGTGTGTGTGTGTGTGTGTGTGTGTGTGTGTGTGTGTGTGTGTGTGTGTGTGTGTGTGTGTGTGTGTGTGTGTGTGTGAAGGATGTTAGTGTGTATCGTGTCAGCCGAAGAAAGCTAGGCTCTATGCCTGCAGGTCGCTGTGTGTGAATGTATCCATGCACACATATTCAGGGGTAATTGGTCCAGCTAGCGTGCGTGTGTGCTCTGTTGCCTGTCAGGAACATCACACTGGGTAACAGGAAGTTGTTTGGCACTGTGGATGAGGAGAAGTAGAGCAGGAAGGGTGAGGGAGGGGCCACAGTGGGAACCCTGGCCTCTCTTCTCCAACCGCAGCGAGGGCCGCCAGCCTGACTCCTTCTCTGGCACTTTCCTTTTTCCCCCTCTGTCTTCCTCCTTTTTTCATGCTCCTTCCTAGCCTCTCCTGTAAATCTTTTCCTTTTTTTATTTGGAATCAACCCTCTTATTCTTCTCCTTTCCTCCACTGCTTCCTTTTCTTCCTTCCTTTCCATTTCCATATCCCCACTGCACCTTTGTCTTGTTCTTTATCGTCGTCTCACCTCTAAATCTTTCTCCCTCTTACCCAGAGTACCCCAATTGTTCTCACTCATTATTTCTCCAACTTTTTTCAATTCTCCTCCTCCTTGGCCCCTCTCTCTTGCTGTGTGCCTCCTTTTCTTTCTTTCTTAATCGCCCTTCTTTCCATCACCAGCTTAGTCTTTAGCGGGGACTCAAAGACACATTTGCTCTGGTTCACAGTTCTAAAGGCTCTCTTCCCTCCACTGTCTGTATCCATGCATCAATCTGACAAAGACGTATTTTTGGGTCGAGGGTAGGAAAGTGTGTAGATGTGTGTCGGACAGTGGCTGCCTGGTATCCCAGCAGGCACAGTGGACACTTCAACATGGCAGTGTATCACAGCAGTAAAACGTATTTTTATAAACGTCAGCACTCTTGTTGAACCACCACGGGACAGACTGAGATGGTGACAAAATGTGACCGGTCCTCTGGAAGATGAATGGTTACAAAAGACGTTTCTCCAAAGAACAGGTGTAAAACATTATATAACTGATGGCTTGAATCCATTCATCTTTCTTACTGCCTTGATGAGAGACATGCAGTCTTTGCATTTGGTAGCTGAGCACTGACAGGAAAATGTAGAGAGAGAGAGAGACGGATAGGGTATGACATGTGACTCAGTCCCCCCCCTGACCAGTCTTGAACTGGGTATGATGCAATCACATAGTCTGCTTCTTAAACCCCCCTAGCCCACCAGGACATCACACACCGGTCACACATATTTCTGCACATACAGTTGGGGCGAACGTCCTCTCACAGATGGGTTCAAGTGTAGTCAAAGTTTGACTCCAGTCGAATCACAAGAGCTCTTCTGCCCCAGCTGTTCATGATTCAGCATATTCAACACTGCCTCTACCCAGAACCTCACCTCAGTGTTGAGTTGTATCTAAGAATGGGCAGCTATTGACTCAGTTACAAGTCTTTTCACTCATTTCGATTTCCTGATTTGTATCTCTCGTGCTATTTTTAAATCCTTAATTTACCTCCCAAGTGAATGGCCAAATGTTTCTTTGTGTGATGGGTGTGTGTGTGTGTGGGGGGGGTCTTTTCAAGTGCGCCCACTGGTCTGGTGTCAAAGTGTGAATAATGTTATGGAAAATTGGACAGAAGTGTCTTCTGATCAGCACGATTTAGATGGTCTTTATTAGTTGTGTACAAACATATAGGACTCGTAGAAACGCTGTGTATATTGGGTGTGGGTGTATGTGTGTCAGAGGGATGAAATGTTGTTTCTTTTGTTTAAACTGCTCTATTATTGTGTTACTATGAATGTGGGCCGTGCCATCAGCACCTCAACCCAGATATTACAATGAAGGATGTCTCTTTGTTCCCCCCTCCCCTCCCTTCTCCACAGTGGATTCACTATTGAACTGGCTTCTGCAGTCACAGTCGTGTTTGCTTCCAATATCGGAATCCCTGTCAGTACCACGCACTGCAAGGTATGAGCGAGGGGCCTCCAGCTGGCCTCTCAACCCCCCCTACAGGCATTTCCAGGGGAGAGGGAGCTCACACTGCCTCCCAGGGCTCTGCGCTGGGAAATACTCTGTAAACTGAGCCGTTGAATTAAGATTAAAGCAATCTGGGTACATCACCTTTTCCCTGGTCGCGTACGCAAAGATGCCCAGATCAGAATGCACCTCAGAGATGACAACGTTTACATTATTTTCACTTTGTTAAAAGACAATCAAAACATTTGGGTCAGTACCCAGCCCCCTGCAGCAGTGTGCAGCCCCTCCCCCCTGTTTCTTTGCAGGAACATCGGATCCAGGCTGGAAGACGTTGCGGACCCTTCCACCAACTCTCTCCCATTTTGTGTGTGGGTTATCCACCCTCCAAACACCCCCACCCACAGCATCCACCCCCCTGCCACACTTGTTTTCCTCTTTTTTACCTCTCCATCTTTCTGTCTCTCCACTCATCTGTTTTTACAGCGGATTTTGCATTGAAGTAATGAGTGCGCTAACAGTGCTTGTTGCATCAAATGTGGGCATCCCAATAAGCTCCACCCACTGCAAGGTATTGGTGTCATTCTTTGTGAAGCCCCTTCATCGCTTCACCTGTAGCTGTGAATCGCCAAAGCCAATCACAACTCCTGAAGGTGCTGTTTTGACTTCTACAGTTCTCCTTCAGCAGCAGACCCTACACAAATGTATGACATTGTATGCAAGACTATTAGACACAGAGCAGTATATTACAAGTGTAAAGCTATTTAACTAATTGAAAGCAAAGAGACTTGTGTATCTTCCTGTGAAGTTTTATAATTTATTTCACATTCTTCCTGTAGCCATATTTTGATCTACTCTTTAGGAGTAATCTTTACCGTCGCAGCATTTTATGTCAGACACTATTCTGCTATTCTCAGTCAGTCTCGATTCACAACATTACCCTAACACCAGATACTGACTGGTTTCGGACCCCCCCAGACCCCCCCAATAAAGCAAAAATGCACGTTTCAGAGTGGCCTTTTATTGTGGCCAGCCTAAGGCACACCTGTACAATAATCATGCTGTCTAATCAGCATCTTGATATGCCACACCTGTGAGGTGGGATGGATTATCTCGGCAAAGGAGAAGTGCTCACTATCACAGATTTGTTCTGATTTGTGAACAATATTTGAGAGAAATGGTTATTTTGTGTATATAGAAAATGTTTTAGATCTTTGAGTTCATCTCATGAATAATGGGAGCAAAAACAAAAGTGTTGCGTTTATATTTTTGTTCTATGTACAGCTACGCTTTCTGACTAGCCTCCTTTCCCAGAAAGCGCGGTATTGATCTTCTAGTTTAAAACGAATAAGCAGATAACCTTTAAACTGGTCGCCTGTATTTGTGGAGATGATTAAGTGTAAACACACCTATCTTATTTTAAATAATGTCAGTGAGACAGGTCAAAACAAGGGGTATGTTTTTCCTCCCAATAGCTGCTTCACAACATAAAAGTCAAATGAAACTTGTCTCTGTGATAGAGATGATTTTGTCTAACAGTCTGCTGAAGGGGAACTGCACAAGACTCAAAACTGGTATTAAATGACTGATAATCGATTTGTCTAAAGTTCATCATCCATACATTATTTTCCCTTCTCACCTCCACTTACCCCTGTCTCTTCCTTAAACCACGGATAATCATCTGCTTTGCATAAAATGCTTAATCTACTAAAGGTTAGAAGTATACTGTCATAATTTAGTGACTGTGTGAGGGAGATGCCCAGATGTTGTTGGAAGATATTAGAGAACTTGTGATACAGATTGTTAAAAGTGACTGAAGTTTTCCGAAATTATCCAACAACATCTGTGAACATCTCCCAGAGCGAAGGTGGGCTGGCATCCACTTGGTTTTTTCTAAGCTAAGAGCAACTTCTTTTCATTTGGCTTTTTTAAACTAATGTGCAGATGAAATTGAATGGATGCCCAGCCCCGGTGACTTTATGTGCAGTGACTCGTCGTTCCAAAAGCTCCACAGGCAGGCAGCAGCACAAACACTGAGGTCACACCGAGGTCCGGCTACTGCTGCATGACTGAAATACTACAATTGGCTGCAAACACACCTCTTGATCACAAAGCTTACATATTGTTCCACACAGGCTTTATTAAGACTGCTTTGAGAATTGAATCATCCAAATAAAGGGAGAAAAAGACTTCATGCCTTCCCTAAAGATATGTTTGTGTCGTCTAATCTGGCACTAGTGTAACTTTGAGTCACACTGACTTATCGAACACATACTCTGCTGGTAGGCTCTGTTGACCTTCCACATTTAGTCTTGAGTGTGACAGAAGGTGTCTCATGTTTCTCTGGCCGTATAAGAGCAGGCACGGTTTAAGCCCCGCCCACCTGCAGTGTCACTAACTGAGCTGAAACCAAGTCACTGCACATGCAACTCTCCAACACACTGAAGGACTGGAAAATGTGTTCATGTGTCTTCTCCAAAATGGATTCTTACTCAGTACTGTACTTAACTGATAACTTGATTAAAGGTGAGAGAAGTGTGTATTGGTGGACGACTGACATTAGCAGAAATGATTGAATACTCTATTAATAATAGAAAACTCTAAACGTAAAAAAAGGGTGATTTTTATTGCACCATAACTTCTGATTTCACGCGTCCACCCTATAATGTAATTTAGGTAGCCCTATCTTACAATTTAGCTTGCTCTGACTAACACCTACAGTTTAGACCCAAAAGGTCTTGAGGAGCTGCAGGCCGATTACAGGCTTTTTTGTTTCGATGTGATTGTTTACCTTACCTATGGATCTCTTACACCTTTTCTACATTCATTCACTTAATTTCATACTTTAACCTGACATCTATAATTGATATGTACATAGTTTTGTACGATTTTTACACATAAGTAATGTAATCACCTTATAAAATCTGAAAAATGTCTATAGTTATGAACAAAGATAATTGAAACATGATATGAAATTGTCATCTAAAATAATTAATTCCGTGACTGTGAACAAGGGTACTATGATACCTTTCCACAGTACATTTGATAATACTAATGTATTTTTACAAGTCCATAATATCCAGATGGACATAAACATTTAAAGATGCCTGCAAAAACAAGCTGAAATTATCTAAAATGTTCAAAATAATAAAAAGCCTTAACAGCCTGCAGCTCTTCAAATTGAATTTGTCTAGTTCAAACATTTTGTTCCCTACCATCCATGTTCCTGATTGTTCTTCTTCCCCCCCTCCAGGTGGGCTCGGTCGTGGCCGTTGGTTGGATCCGCTCCAAGAAGGCAGTGGACTGGCGCCTCTTCAGGAACATCTTCCTGGCGTGGTTCGTCACGGTGCCCGTGGCCGGCCTGTTCAGCGCTGCCGTCATGGCCCTGTTCGTCTACGGCATTCTGCCCTACGTCTGAGGGCCAGGAGGGAGAACATGGGAGGGGCAGAGAGTCAGAGGAAGAGATAGAGGGAACCTTGGGTAAAATCAGAGCCCGAGTGTCAGGGGTTCAGATAAAGGAGAAGGAAATAAGGAGAGGGAAGCTGCAGAGGTTTACACATGGACGTGGTTGTACTGTGGATGTGAGGAGGGTTGGTTCATACGCTGCCGGGCTCCGGAGATATGTTTTTGACTCCTATGGGTTTCTGATTGTTTTTTATTTATTCTCTTCTTTTGGGTGCATAAGAAAAAAGTGTATTACAAACATGTTCACTGTACCATTCAATCTGCTGTACATATGCCATAACAGAGAAATATCCAGTAACTCTTAAAAAAACAAAAAAATCATGAGTTTAAAAAAATAAGACGGCACAAACCTTTCAAATAATAATAAAAAAAGGTTAAATCTGCCGACTTTAAACAACATCATGCTGCGTGCTATCCCAGGAAGCAAAGTCTTGCAGGTGCTCATTATTTTTGACCCAAAATGCCAGAAAAAACCCTGTACATATTGTTGTATTGGAGTGTGATTTGGTGTACTTTGGCTTGCTTTAAAGTTGAAAAAGAAACCGACAAAAAGAAACAGATGTGCGTGTGGAAAACCAACCCCTCCATTGTCTCACCTTTAATATGCTAGCCAGGTACAACTAGCCAAACGGATAGGACGCCTCAGGGGGGGCGGGACTGTCACCCTGCTTTATTTTCCACATGATACCACAGAAACCTGATTCGCTAAAGAGTTGATTTTTGTCAAGAGCTCCTGTATGTTTTTAGAGATGGATCTCATATTTTTTAATGATGTAATATACTGTAATTTGTACTGTAAATAATATCCTTAAAGAGTTCGGGGGCGGGATGGGGATCATATGGTGTGTTTTTAAAGATAGGGGGGGGCTCTTTACCTCTTCATGATGTCGTGTCCCAGAGTACACACACACGCACTCAGTGAACACACACACTTGACAAGCTGCTGTTTTTCCATAGGTTTGCAGAAGTATATTGATTGGAAAACAGTATTACAAATTGGAAGTCATTAAGCCAGAACTGGAAATATTGAATCCTTCTGATTTTATCATGTAAGTTAATGTGACAGTATTGGCAGAAAGATCTTTAGCTAAAGGTTTGAGAAAAGGTTTAGATGGTTATATCAGTGACATTTAAAGGTATAGGTGCCGCAGAAGCCAAAACACTAAAACTGAACCAGGACAAAAACACTAAAATGGTCCCACAAAATGTTCACATACTGTATCTTCATCCGTTTGCCTTTGTTTTCATAACAAAATGCACCTACTGGAGTCAGGGTTTTACATTGAAGGCTCCCTGCCAATGATGGACCTCGAGACATGTTTCTGATCCTGCATCGCCGCTCAGATTACATTTCTTAGTCCGGGACGTGTCTCTGCAGCCCTGACCCTCGGCCTCATGCTCCTGGGCAGCTTCGGCACGTCAGACGGCGATTATGTGTCATATCACTTTGTATTATAACTCCAACCAGTTATGCAGAAGTGGGAAGAAAGGGGATTTAACCCCCAGCCACACGTGTAGCTCCTCAAAATGGGCTGGTTGTTGTTTTGAAGTGTATAAGCATTTAGTCTATTGATCACCTGTGTTTCAATCGAAGTGCTAAAGGCAAGCTAGATATCATAGGCTCCAGTTTTGGGCTCAATCGAAGCCAGAAAACTATCACGAGACTTCTGTCTTAGGATCATTATGGTATGGTATCGGGGGGGGGGGGGGGGATAGTACTGATCATCACCAGCTTTTTAACCAGGTCACCTGACCTGTAGATGAACAAAGTTTAAAGCTTTTTTTTTATTTGAACAAACTCGATGCCAGGTGTTGCAAGTTCTTTTTTTTGTTCTTGTGTGTTTCCTAATTTCATTTTTTTTTTCTCATGAACAAATCTATGCTTAAGTAGCCACTTGCCTTGTAACATTGTGTTTTACTTTTTGAGCAGATACAGTGAAATAATTAAGTACTGTGGTGTTTACATCGTAACCATATTGTAGACTATCTGAAAAAATAAACTGTTGCCTAATGATGCCAATGAAAGACAAACTATTAACCATGACTTTTTAAGTGCAAGTAAAACAAATAAAATAACCTGAAGTGTCTAGAGAGAGAAAGAGAGAGAGCAAGTGTGCGCGTGATGACTGTTTTTATGTTGTTGTTGTTGTAGCAGTAGTGCTAATCATGACCCCGTCACTTTACACTGCTAATACAAAGCATTGACACTGCATGTATGGGTGCAATTCAGTAATGAAGAGAATGACTAGAGACATTTCATCAACTATATATTTTTCTACCATATCTGAGTTTTAACCTGGGTGAGCTTCCTGACACTGGAGGGCACACAGTGGGCTGAGGGGGAAGCGAGGACTATTTGTTCAGAGATCTCTGAGAAAAGATCTTCTAACAAATCAGTATCCCTCCTCGCTGGTGCCATGTGCCGCACCTCCTCTACGCTCGTGTGTTCTTTGTAACTTTGGCGTTGTGTCGGTTGCCAATAGATCAGATTTTTAAATTACATTTATATTTTTGAATTTTAGATGAAAAATCTTTGTAATTTTGTTTCCCTGCTGCTTATAATCATGAGAGCAGCTTGAAGTCTTGCTAAATCAGGACGACTGCTCTCCGTAGGTAAACTAAAAGTGAATATCTCTAGGCAACAGAATAAATCTTGTAAGCCTACTCTGTAACTGATAACTGGACTATGAGGACATTTGTTTCCTTGTTTTGGCAGGTAACCACTCTTGAAGCTCATACCCTTTCACTCTTCCACAGGGTGTGTGTTACACAGGGGGCTGCACGGAGATGGTGTGTGTGCAAACTCTATGTGCTCTGGTACAGTAGAGCTGGAGAAAGAACATCTATAACCAAGATCAGAGTTTACAACCATTTATTCAAAGTGGCCAAAGTAACTGGAATATTTAATATATTGTGCACATGTTATCATCTTATAGAGAGCAACAGCTAAAAAACACTTGTTTTTTGCTTATTCTAAAATAAATAGGCATGTAACACGACTTTATAACTTTTGAACTCCTTATCATTTATCCAAGAAAAACATGATTCGTTATCAAGTGCACAGTTAAAGACATGCGTTAAAGGCTAACAAAATATCCATTCATGTTTTGTTTATATGTTGAGCACATTTGATATGATGGATATAGTGTGGTCGTAGCTGGTAGATGTGTGTTCTCTCGTGTTCAGTTGGTACAATAAAGGAGACTGAATCCACTTTCCTCAGGTTGGATTATGAGGTTTACTGGGCTGAGGTCGGCCAGGGTTCAGATATCTGGTTTGTGCTGCATCACTGCGGCCCCTTGTGTAACCTGCACTGTCATTTTCTGTTTTGTTTTCCATGCATTCTCAGTCCTGATAGGCCAAAAGGGATGCACTGCTCAAAAGAGGAGTGAAAAGAAAACCTAATATTAATGGCTCAAACTCTAAAGTTTAGGAACCATTGCTCTATCAATATTAAAGCCCTAGACAATTTGGTTTCAAATATTGTGTATTTCTTTAAAACATTAAATACAAATTGTAGGTATGAAAAGTTTAGCTAATAGTATTTGATTGGCAAACATCTAACGACTTTTATCACATGTTGATTCAATGTCTCTGATTGGTGCATAAACCATGTGACACCTCTAATTTCCAAAAGAGCTTCGCCTATTTAAAACCATTGAGAAGAGCAAAAAAAAGTGCAGAAATCGCTCCCGTAAAGATAATCAAAACTGTGCTTTCACTAAATAAATGTAGTTTCCATATTGGAAACAATCAGCCTTAAAAAAAAAAGCTGATTGAGAAAACAAGTTGTCAGGGCCCTTTAAAGAGTAAGTTGTAGATAAAATAATTCCAATAATTGTGCAGGTCCCACAGAGAGGGACAGCAGTATCAATGGACGCTGCAGTGTAATGCCATTGAGGGAGTCACTGTGCTTCTATTGCATTAAACCTATTGTGTGACCTTCGCAGAGAAACAGCAGGCGCCATTTCTTTCTCCCGTGCCGCACATGCAGTTTGTTGTGAAGCTGTAGCTCCACCTGCTGAAATAGCGCCCCCTCCAGGCTGTGTACTGACACAGTTGGAGGGGTCCTCATCTGGATGTGGCGTGCTGTCTCTAGTTTTCTGCTGTTTTGTAATAGGATGTGCTCCTTGGCTGGCTTAGCTCTGTGTTGTCTGTTTACTGCTATTTAACTGTCCAGTCCTTCAAAAGTAAAAAAACGGAAAAAACAACAGTAATAAATACAAAAATCAAGAGAAACTGTAGCCTGCTTCTAGAACATCTTAAAGCTTTTCTGATTTGCATATCGTACTGTAATGTTTTATTTAAGATTTTAGTGGAGAAAAAAATGTCTGCATTTAAACTAAATTGTGGGAATTAAAATTACAAAGGAAATTGAACAGAGTTGTGTGTGTTATTTTTGAAAAGATGTGTAAGAGTGGAAGACATGGTGCTTATTGCTTTCATTTCTATGTTACACTCATCCTGAACAGCAGTAGAAACATGATATAATGTAGCTACATATTTGTTTAATTAATGTATAGAGTGGTCAATGATTTATGCATGAGAAGTGGTTATTCTCATTTACTCACTTGTTTTGTAACTATATCTCTGAGTTACAATGCTGTCCCCTTAAACCCTTAATGTTGTGCCTGCTCATTTCCCCCCACTTTGCATGCATTTGGTTTCCAACAGCAACCGGCCTCTTTAAAGACTGAATGAATGTGTCAGATCTTTTCAGCCTGCTCTTATTTATTTCGTTTTGTTTTTTTAGAGCTTGGATAATAATTCAGTGACTTGGCACAGATTGCACTTTTAAGTTCCCAGCACTGTGGCTCTCTGTGCTGGCTTTGATTTGAGAAGTCTCTACAGAAACACTGAAAAATGCTGGTTTGATGCTGGCACACAGCGAGTGACACCATTTACGTTCAATGGTATAATGGTTTCCATTTCATGTTGGTTAAATCAGTAACCAACAAGCAATGGAAACCATAACCTCCCTGCAGTCACAGCAGGGTTTCCCTAACATAGTCATTGTTCTCTCAAAGGTATTGCCTGAGGTCTTATAATTAAATATGTAGAATGAACTAGTCCATTTAAGTTCACTTTTTCTCACGCTGGGATAATGTGCATGTGGCTGAAACCACTCTTAAGTTAAATCTATCCAAGTGATATGCTAATGCTGTTCACTAAGAACACTAAAAAAAAATGATGTACTTTTTTCAGTCGACTAGTCGAGGCTTATGTGTATTATGTGTAAATATACATTCATGTATTTTATCGTTTACTATGTAGTATGTATTATTTGTACCTTCTGTTGAACTGCAGAGCAGAGACCAAACACATTGGACGATGAAATATACTGCATTGTATCACCTTCAGTTTCCAGAAGGCCAAAAAAGAACTCCAGCAAAAATACATAAAAGATTTTTGAATATCATTTTCTGTCCTTCTTGATTCCAGTCCGACTGTGAACTGAGCCTCGCATGTTGGTCTGGTGTTGCTGCTGCTGACAAGAGGAGATGACAAGACTAATTGAGATTAAACTTGACCTGTAAGATAGGTGTTTATTTTTACCATATACTGTACATGCTCACCAAGAAGTTAGCAAATGAGAAAAAGAAAGTAAAACACAAACCAGAGCGCAGTATTGGGTTAGTTCATTTCCATCCAAAACATTTTATTGTCCTCCGAACTGAAAGGTTTACCCTGTGGTTTGGCCTGGTTCGCTGAGCCAAAAATCATACATTGCATCTCTTCAGGTAGCAGCGAGGCATACACAGATCTTTCTGACTGAGAAACGATTGGAAAGAGCAACGCAGGATCCTCTCCTTCAAGTCACATGATGAGTAATCTTTGCATTCATGAGTAATGGAGAGAAGATTCCTTTCAGATCACGGGGAGCTTGAAGAAAGAAAGTAGGGTCTGGTCTTCCATAAAAGAGAGAGGAGGGGGGGGGGGGGGGGGGGGGGGAACACAACAACAGTTTGAAGACCAGGTTGTGTTTCTTCCATGTTAGAAAAGGCCTGAAAACGGTCACACTGGGGAGCTTCATCGGTTTGCCTCCGAGTTGTGTATCGCCTTTAGAGCATCTGTAGTGTACACCAATGGACACTGGATATGTAATTCAAAACCAAAGTGCCCACAGTCGATATAAAGCAAGGTCACATGACCCAAAACAGGTGATGACACACAGGGGAAGGGAAAGGGGGTTGAGACTGGACATGAATGTACCAAAACGCTGCCATCAGTGTGTGTGTGTGTGTGTGGTGCAGAAACGCCATGGTGTGGCACTCAGCACCGTTCTTTACAGTTACTCAGGTGTCTGAACCAAAGAGAAAGACCCCTCCTCGTGACTGTGCAGTTCAAAATGGGCACATGGTGATTTAAGCTCATTCTTGAGTTGTGGTAAACCATCCAAGCACTTCTTTAATTAATAACTATAAATACACAGCAGCGCTTTTACCGGAGAGGACTGTGTGCCTCTCCCTGGGTGAGTGTGTGAGGTGTTCGTCTCTCTACACTACGCTCGTCCGCTAGAGGAAACACAGGGTTATGTGGAATTGATTATCAGCTTTCATATAGATTTTTCTATAATATATTTATATAGTTATTTTTCTTTCTCTCACGCACCCACCACGCTTGCTTGCTTTCACATTCTCTCGTCTCACTACTTTTATTCAATGTACACAACGTAATAAGCATGGGGTGGAGTGGGGCGCGACAGAGCTGAAATGACAATCACTGAGAAAGAAAATAATTAAAACAAAGCCAAAAAGAACTGCAGTCTTTTTTGTCATCCATTGGCAGTCGGACCGACTCGGCAGTCAGCCACGTACAATGGTGGTTTGAGGTGAGGGGGGGGCCGTGTCATCAAAGGGGCGGTGCGGGGGGCTCTTTCTTGGTTGGCGCTGTTTTAGACGTTGTTTTCGTCGTCTTGGTAGCCGGGGTCATTTCCTTGAGGTTGAGGTTCTCCAGCGCCACGTCCAAGGTCATGACCTCTACACAGCCCATGGCCTCGAAGTCAGCGAAATTCCGCAACGAGCCGTGACAGTCGTCCTCGTCGGAGGAGGAGGCTGAGGCGTCGTCGTCGGGCAGCAGCGTGGACAGCAGCAGCTCCGTCACGAACAGGCTGCGGTCGGCCCACTGCGCCTCGCACGCCTGCCGCTCCGCCTCAGAGAGCCGCGGTTCGCTCAGCCTGAGGGAGAGGCGACAGAGAGGAGACAAAGGTCAGAGGAACTGTGGATTTCAAGAGATGGATGTAAAAGCAAATCACCGTAGAGAATCAAATGAAGTCAAAAAGATCCTCTCCAGACGTGTTTTAAGGCATAAAGATTCTTCAAAAAGTCAAATCAATCCCGATTAGGCAAATAGTTTTCCTTTGAAAGTTTAGCATTGGGTCACAGAAACATGCTTGTAGATAAACTACAATACACACAACTCATTTAGGTTAAAACACTGAATGTTAACAGAAACTACATCCACAAACTACCTTTCAAAAGTATAGATTAGAGAGCCTGAAGGTCAAACATCCAGTGGACTTTGGAGTAAAGCAGGGGTGTCAAACTCAAGGCCCGCGTGCCAAATCCGGCCTGCGATTTCCTTTTATGTGGCCCGCAAGGAACTTGCAAAGAATATAATACGTTTATTATACAGTTACATGCCGCTTTACAGAAGCACGTTGTCCATAACTACATGTCCCACAATGCATCTCATTTTGTGACGTGTCGTGCACTGAAGAGACTTTCAATTATTTGGAATTATTTGCCCAAGACTTCTGCTTTCAGGCGTAGTTAATTATGGAGTTATTACCCTATCCGATAATAATACAAGGCAGTGGCAATAATGTAACATAATACATTATTTTATATATATTAAAATATGTATATTTATATAGTCTTAAAGTTACAACCGGCCCTTTGAGTGCAACCAAAATGCTAATGTGGCCCGGGATGAAATTGAGTTTGACCCCCCTGGAGTGAAGACATTGAACAGTGCAGGAATGAGAGCCCACCTGCTGAGTAGGAACTGGGAGCTATGTGCAGGGTGCTGTGTGTTGGACTCCGGGGGTCCCGGGTTGGGGCTGGGGTTGGAGTTGTGGTTGGCGCTGGGGTTGGGGTTAGCTGCGGCTGAGTTGCTGTTGAGGATAGCGTTGGCGCGGCCCACCCCCCGGGTGGCGTTCCGGGCCGTCTCCAGCTGCTGCCTCGCGGCTTGGGCCTGCTGCCGCTCCAGCTGCAGCTGCATCTGGAGCTGCTGGAGCTGAGAGGCTGAGGGGCCCGAGCTGAGCTGCCCCCCGGCCGAGCGCCGCACCCCCGACAACTGGGACAGAAGCTCTGGAGGAACAAGATGGAGAGGATAAGGGCTTGGCTGACGAGCAAACACTTGTTGGTCCATTAAGCTGCACCAATCACTCTGGTTAGTATCAGACAGCAGGCAGTATCTCATGAATACTCCTGCAATGACGAGGCAATAACAACTGAAAATCCCTGAATCACGCAACTATGGTGGCATCCTCCGTTTAATTTTCAAACAAACAATTTATCTTTGGATTTCAGACAAAACAACAATTAAAGACCGACTTGGATTTGAGAAACTGGAGTAGATGATCAATTAATGGTAGGGATGCTCCGATCGGGAATTTTGGGCCGATCGCCGGAATCAGTATCGGCTGATACCGATCGCCGATCTGATCGGGTGGGCGGGGCCTATGGGGATCTTCCATTTAAAGTGATGTTTAAAACTCACTGGCGCTTCCACTAACTACAACCAACATCATTATTACATTCAAATGAAGTACATTATTCAAGTTTACGTTAACTTTGGAGAATAACACGGGAGAAATGAGCGGAAGCGCTCTCTTTTCCTCTCCCCCTCTCCTGACAGCCTGTCAGTATCTCATGCAGCTCACTGATCCAGTAATGAGCGACCCGACAGTGAAGAATAAATATATTTAGCCTACAACTAGTTTAGCTTGTTCCAGAGGTAGCTAAATAGCTAAGTGTGTTAGGTCTAACTCTGAGTGTGTGTTCTGCTCTGCTCACAGCGGGCGGAGCTGCAGGATTTCTGCTTCACACACACGTTGCATTCCGCTATTTTACTGTCTTTTTCGGACACCTTAAAATACTGTTAGACCGGTGAAGCCATTTTGGCGAGCTTGTTTTGCCGCGCAGAGAAAAGTGTCATGTATTTTACGTCATGTGATCGGCTCTCCTGATCGGCCTTTATAGAGAGCACCGATGGTTAGTTCATATTGATTAATGTTAGAAATGGTTTAAATGTGTTAAAGAATAAAACCTTCTTAAGTTAATAAAACAATAGAAAAAACTAAAAACATAAAAGTATCTGAAATAAGATGCCTCGTGTTGCACTATACTGTCATGGCACAACAATCACGCAGGACTGCTGAGCAGCATCTGATCCAGTCAGAAGTCATCACTAGAACACAAAAGACACACGTTGAGCACGATAAGACCCTCAGCGAGTCAACGTCCCAGCAGGCACGGCGGGTCGTTAGTGAGGCGGCTGTTTGTGAGGCACTGAGCAGGGCCGCTCATTACTGCACAGCTGGAGCTGACACGGTGGATGCCAATAACTGAACCGGACTACAATCAGGAACAGGATGAACAAGGAAGGGCCACTGCAACAGCTCTGCGGACATGTTACTGTTTTACATCAGGCACTCGTATATCTCTGCAACTGCATTTAGTTCATCGTTGAGAGAAACAGTTTATGTTCAGACAACATGCAGGATTTAGTACTGAGCACCATTGTTTGTGTGTCAGACCTGCTGCAGTTGTTGCTGGATGATATTCAATTGAATGGTTTTCTGCTTGAATGTATAACGAGAATATATGTGTTTTTATTATCTGAACTACATCAGGATCCACAGCTGTGTGTCTCACAGGAAGCCTGTATCTGCTGTGTGTGTGTGTGTGTGTGTCTGACCTGCTATGGGGTCCATGGCCTCTCTGCTGTAGTTGGAGCTCTGTGAGGAGCTCTGGCTGGTGGAGAGCCCCCCCGTGGTGCTGCTGGTGAAGTGCATGTTGGACCTGCGGGCTCGGGGACCCCCCAGCCCGCGGCCAGGGTGGAACATCCGCCTCACGTGCCGCACCCCACTGGACTCATCGTGAAGAGCGCAGTTAAGGAACACATCAGGAACAAACAGCGATCCAATTCATCTTTATATTTTATTACACTTTCAATCTACAAACTGTCTAAACATTTGACCATAACTTCGTTTTTTTTTGTTGACTTAAAGTCTAGGCAATGTAGTCTTTACTTAGGAAAGAAAACCACACATAATCCAGTTTTTTCCTAGAATGAATATTGAACATTTCGTCAATCTACTCTGACCCAAACCCTGTCATTGTTCACTTTAAGTTGAGTGAGTAAGTTACTTCAGTCCTCCTGACTTTACTCATTGTGTATTGCTAGTGTAGTCCAGATACTGCTGCATTATGGGAAAATGATTATACTCCAACAACAAACTGATGCACACTGGGTAAGCCCACAAACAGACTTGTTCCATCTGTATTTCATTAAACTAGGATTTTGCATTTCAATGTTCTCAAAAGCTCTAAATCAAAGGACTCTATAAATAGTCAGCAGCCCTCTGAGGCTTTCAGACAGAAACTCACAGCGAGTGTTTCAGACGATGCTGCCATTTCAATCCTTCACACAATTTGATAAATAACACATTTTTGAAATGTCCTCCGTTCTGAGGCTCCGCTGAACAACGTGTGAAAGGTAGCTTCTGTAGTCCAAGAACATTGACTCAGAGCCTTCCATTTCTAATGAGTGAATCACATGAAGCTCTTCTCTAATAAAACATCTGCAATAGGGCTGAACAATCTGGGGAAGAAATAACTAATTACGATTATTTTGAATACTATTCCAATCGCATACTATTTACAAAATTGGAGGGATTGATACATTTTGCCTCAATGTTGTCATTATCATTGAAAGATCTATTTTTAATTATTATGATTTAATCCTTTTTTAAGAGAAAAAAAAAGTATTTTATTAGTTTCTTAGAGTGCCATTTGTAGGCAGGCATCTATGCAGCACCACAACCCTTCATTCAGAATACTATTAACACCTACTTTGCCAATATTGTGTCTACTGCAAATAGAAAAGCAAACTAGCCCTTATTGCAATGTAGATCAAATGCAATTAATTGTGCAGCCCAAGCCTGCATCGTTTACATGGTTTCCCGTCTTCACTTTTAGAGACACATTTATAATTGTTGTTTCTGCAGAAATGTGCTCCGTCCCTCCACTTTGATGAAAAACAATGCAAGCTACGAGGGATGCAATGATACAGAGTCTGCTCTCCAGATAAAGATTCAACTACTTCCACTCATGTCATCTGTCCACACTCATGCCAGTGTTTAACTCAAAATCTCGACATGGTACTGGGTAAAACTCATTGGAAACATTATAATGTTCAGTACCAAACAACCAGGGATTGTTGCGGCAATAAAAAAAACTCAGATAGAGTCCTGGTGAGTATGTTGCGATGGCACCAGACATCATTTAGTTGGAAAACAGCCATGAAATCATAACCGCACATATTCTGTTATTATACTCTGCTATTCAACCTCGTCTTTGTTCCCTCACCACCATGGTGATTGGGTACACTACCACAGGAGGCTTTAATGTTATCAGCAAAATGTCACTTCCAGTGAACAGGTGATCCTGGTGATCTCTAAAATGATAAAGCAATCTGCATGACACAAAGTGCATCGTTTCCACACAGAAACCTTCAAAGTCTGCTTCTTTTTTCCCAACTGACTGCCAAACTAATTCAACACGTTTGACAGTCAACACATGAGATGAATATGGTTCGTCTGTGGAGGAAGGATTACTGTTCTAAAAGGATATCAAGTCTCTGGGCGCTCTGTGTTCGAGTGTGAGATGTGCAGCAAAGTCATCCGTCACGTGATTCGGGTCGCCACCTGGCAGCGCTGCACATATGGGGCAGATCTGGGGGAGAGGAGGAGAGCGCACGTTAATATCAGCACACTTCACTAGACACTCAACATTCAGCAGTTGTGCTGCGGGGCGCTCTTGAACAAACACTGAGATGGGAACATGTCTATCTGCTGTAGATGATCTCTGATCTCAGGGAGGCTCCGGACACACAGAAGGACATATGGGCTGTACTGTGGTGTCATGGACACTGTGAAGAGCATCATGTCCTTTTGTTAAGTTTCTCCATTTCAAAAAGGCATCAAATCAAAATGTGCTAAGCTATAAACTTATAGTATTGATTTGGATGTGAAGTATTTGCCAAACTTCCCTTTTTTGATTTGAAAAGACAATAACTCATGACTGCGATGCCCTATAAGGCTGTCATAACATGACAAACTATATTTGAGGTCATGAACTCAAATATATATAAATATAAAAAGGTTTTCCTGATATGCTTGTTGTGTTTTTGAGTGAAAACCTGCATCATGGTTTTGATCATTATCATAAATTAACTACACAAACTAAAACACTTTCATAAAACTATTGTTATTACTTTGGAAAATGCATACAAACCAAAAGCAGTTCATGTCAAAATGAACCCTTATTCAATATTAGGTACATTATTTCAAATCATTGGCATTGGGATATTTTTTTTAAATCCTCTGGAGCAGAGAGAGGAGCTGTGGATTGTTGTCATTGATTAATGCATCAGTGTTTCTTAGGGTCAAAAACACTAAACTCACAACTTCAAATGAAAGCGTTTGGCTTATTTAATAAAAGAGCACATGTTCAATGTGACAGTAGATATAGATTAGTTGCAATTTGGTGCTATATATATATATATATATATATTTTTTTTTAACACCTTGAATTTCAGGGGGGGCGCGGGACTCCGTTGGCGGGGCACAGCGTCCCTCCAAGACAATGGTAGGGGAAACACTGCACGTATTATGCAAAATCCCCTTTTTCATGTCTTTTATACATAAATATATGTTTAAAAAGGGGACATACAAGTTCAGAAAGAGATTCAGAAGTTCAGGAAAAAAGATTATCTCACTTTGTGTCCTGATCCATTTATATAAAAACCTGTCTGAAAATGAGCTGATCAGATGTTGGCCACTTTATGATGTCATAATGATTTTTTGGTGTTAGCCAATCACCAACCAAGGTAACCCCCCCCCCCCACCTTATCACCTGAATCTCCTCCTAGAGCACCATTGTGTTCTTTTAAACCAAATCTCTCTCAGAGGGGCGTGGGGAGGGGCTCCTTATTTTCATCTAAAGTAACAGACCCAGAATCAGCACTTTTGAAACAGGGCTGAAACAGAGGGGATTATGGGATGCTGCAATGATCTGTTTGGTATTTCCAGCCAAAAACTCAGAGACATGTTTTGTATATATCTGAGACCTTTTGCAGGCCCTCTTAAAGGGGCAGCACAAATATATTGATGAAAAAGAGGATGATGGGGGAACTTTAAGATCTGTGCAGTTATTAAAGGGTGTCATAGAGGTGGTGAAGCTTCAGCACCCACTCACCACTTCTGTGGAGGTCTCTGTGTGCTCCGCAGCCACGTGCTCCTGCAGGGAGATCTCTGTGTAGCCCATCCTGCCACAGTAGGGACATGTGAAGGCCTGGGGCTGCTCCACTGAGAACGCCTCTCCACCGTAGTACAGGTCTGAGGGGAAATCAAGACGGACATTCAGACTCAATGTTTTGGCATTTCTTAACTCAAAGGCAATGTCAGGTGCTGCGATTGCAGTGTTGCTCATACGTAGGATCAACGTTTTATCACATCTGCCACAGAATCCAACTTGATAAACAAATCCTGGTGACGGGAGTCGGACAAAAACAAAGTTGAAGCTGCAGAAGTATTTTTAGAAGAGATTTTTAAGCCTATTTGGAAAATATCAATTAAAAACAGGTTCAATCAACATGCTGAGAAACAGCTTATAGTCAGGAGACTGTTCATTATAAAAGATTATCTTGCCAACTCGCATAACATCAACCTGGAGGCAGTTTGAAGAAGCTGTTAAAACGAAACTGACAAATTACCACATTATTAAGTTGTTAGGATTCATTTTGAATGTGTAGTAGAAGCCTTTTTAAACATCCAGTGGACACAGACCATCAGCTAAAGGAGCAGCTTTCGTCTCAACTTGAATTTAGGCAAGTCCCATTTCCAGATAGCGCGGTGTTGATTTCCATACATTTCTGAGGGACATATGAAATTATGTAATTGATAAATGCTTCACGCTGTTCACCAGCTAGTCCTCAACGCCATTTGGCTGTCACTCGCTGTTGGCCAAATTAGATAATGTAGGTTTATCTGTATTTATCTTATATACATTAGGGTGGTCCTTAGTGCCATGTACATTTTCAAATTCATTTATTTTAAGCTCCAACCACCGGAATTCGTTATGATAGTCAAGAAAACTCTCCTGGTGAATTTTATTCAAATTGCAACAACATTTACCCCTCCCTCATCAACCTTGGCCTCAGTAGGGTGGTCCTTCAAATTGAAAGTCGGTAAGTCTAAGCTCCAACCCCCAGAATGCATTCCATTAGTCAAGAAAACTCTCCTGGTGAATTTTTCCCTCAATCTGACAACATTTAATAGACTTTCCGACTTTCAATTTTAAGGACCACCCTAATATACATGTCAATATAGTCAAGAAAACAATGATTATTGCAGTTTTAACAGTTTGTATTTTTTTTAGCAGATTGTAAAACAGAATTTATGGTGTGTGAAATGCTGAATATGAACAGATTTCAGTGGCAATGCATGACATAATAGTACAAGCGGTTGTAAAACAGCAAGAAAGATGGTCCATTCATCAAACCTTACAGCAGATCTACTGTAATTCTAACCAATAAATGATAGCAATTGCATTAACAGTACGTCTAGACTAGTCAGGATTGAAATCTCTCTATCCCCATTGCTGCCGCTTATTTCATGTAGAAATAAATCATACCAGAAGGCCCACTAACAAACTCCCAAAATCTCCTCAGGCTGTCTGGGTCACATCAGTCATCACTAAACAGTTTGGGAGCAGCCTCCATGTCAGACAACAGAAGCCAGCGGCAGCAAAAGACAACATTCACTGTAACAGTTTAACTTGTGCAGGCTTATTAAAGCCACCAAGGTGGTTTCCAAAGACTGCCAGTATTAGTTGTTACTTTTATGAAATGCCAAGATATGCAAACTCTTGATTGTTTGTGACCCACTGCTCATCTTTGAACAAACTATAAACATTCCTGATCATTTGTTCAAAGTTTTGCATTGTGTTAATTTTGGCATCCCTTTCACAACAGTCCACACACACATCCTTCCTTTAGATCACATGTGTCAAACTCAAGGCCCGGGGACCAAATCAGGCCCTTGGTGGATTTAATTTCAGCCCGCAGGAACATTTCTAATTACTATTAGATCTGGCCTGCCGGTATATTGCACGCACACCTTCACTCCATCCTGAGGGTTTCCTCAGCTCAGAGCCTGAGCCCAAACGTTGATGAACCTGCACCCGAGATGAGATGCCAAGTATCTGGCTTAGTGTGCATCACCGAGCAGCACACTGAGTTTACATGGATGTTTCCTTCAGCACTTTTTCTCTCACGACACAGAGCATGTTTGGTTTTCTCTTTGAGGGAAATAGTTTTGTTGAAGCTGTTGTTGGCCTGTGGGAAAATGTAATCATAAGAAATGACTCCGGAAAAGCTGCAGATAGAGCCATAAGAAATGAATGCAACTGATTATTTAATGTCAATGTTGTTTTTAGGCAGTAATTTAAGCTTTGTTAGTTCCAGGTTTAATATGTGCAATAAGTTCATTTCAATACGTTGCAATAAACATTGAACCAGTCCGGCCCTCGACTAGTACCCATTTTTTAATTTTGGCCCACTGTGTATTTGAGTTTGACCCCCCTGCTTTAGATGCAGATACAAATCATACTTACTCTTATATTCAGGTAATAAATCACTATTAAAATCAGATGATACTGTAGCTACTGTGTGTCTGGTTTAGGGTTAACTTTAGAACTGATCTGTAGAGACTAGAAAGCAAAATGTTAACACATTATGTTCAACAGCTGTATGTCCTTGTCAGATTGTCAGTGAATTACCAATATCCTTTTACCATTAAGTATTACCAAATATCTGAACCACAATAACGAATATCATATTAATGAGTGAAAGGCCGCTGTCTTTCCATAATCTGGAATACATAATTAGCCTGATGTGAACATCAACTCTACTTACCAAAGTCAACTCGGGTTAATATACACTGCATGGGATGCTCTGTGGTGTGTCTGGTTGTGGTCGCACCGCTCTCGTAGCACGATGCGCACAGATCGTAGTCATAGCAGATTAAACATTTGTATCGTCGACCTCTGAAGTTGCCTTTTAAACATGCATCGCAGCTTACGCCTGAGGGAGAAACATCATACATGACAGGAGAAAGAAGGAAGAGGTTAGATTTTGTTAATCTAATATTAGTGTTAATCAGAGAAAGTACTATGTCTTTTACATTTACATTAAATAACATGTTTCTACTGGGATTTTCTTAATCAATTCAGTTTAAAATGACCTAAGAAGTGTATTCCTATCATTAATGCATTATGTACAAAGACTACAAGCTATAGAATTTAACCTTATTCAAAAATATAACTTCAAAACATATACAAGAATTACAAAGAGTTATTTTTAAAAGAATGGTTATGACATGCTTGGGGGTTTATGCATGTGGTGGACAGTACATGAACACCTTCTAATGCAATCTAATACAAATCCCCACAGTAATAACTACATCCATTTGTGTTCATGTTAAGCTTTAAATGAGGCTGTGAAAGAAGTTGGACTTGTATTGTTGTCCTGCATAGTGTACTGGATTGCATAATGTGTCAAGAGTTACTGTTTTGTTGGACTTGACTGTACGTTTTGTATTCTGAGTTTGGTTGAACATTGCTTCTTGTTCTAGTGGTTAAGTGACAAGGGTGAGGCGATGTCCTGTGTTGTTATTGTTAAACTATTGGAAGTCTATGTTAAAAAAATATTCAAAGGAAATGCCCTGCCACCTAAAAATAACCATAGAATAGACACAACACTCATTTGACAAATTACAGGCAACACAGAATATTAGAAGTTGTCACTGTGTTATTTAATGCATCATGTATGACACGTATGTTACTGTGTCCATCCTAACAGGAGACATCCTTCTCAGGAGTGACCAATTCACATTCTAATAACTACGCATGTCATTCATAAAGACATCCTCTCCACTATATTTAACAGTCGTAACCCTGTGTGTCTCTGGGGGTAAAGGACCCTCTCTGTTCAAACCCAGGCCATTCCTGATTGACTAGGACAGTCGTGCAGTTGTGGTGTATAGTATGACACCAAGCTGTCTAAACTCCATCATATCTCCCTCCATAGAGCAATGCTCTGTGATCCTGTTGGGCAGCAGCTGACGACTAGCCCGTTAACGACACTAACAACGATAACCATCAGACACAACTTGATGATTTCTGACAGTAAAGCTGGCCACAGCGACAATATCAACACAAACATGCAAACTAAAGGCCGCTCAGGCCAGACTAACCTTCGCTGCTGAATAACCATTTCACAAATACACCGGAGCGTTAACACTAGCTTAGCTCAAAAGCAAGACAGCTATGGAAGACTTTAACTAACTAAACGTTTTACTGACTGATGAGCTCAAACATCTACTGACGTCTTCTTGACACCAAAAGCCAACTTCAAGCCCAACAAGGTTGGTCACAAGGACGAGGTGGATGGGGATTTGTTCAGTGTTAGCTGGCGAAACTGGAATCTAAAGGCCAACTGTTACCGTAAGGCTAAGACATGCACAGGAAGACAGGCCCCCACAACCCCGCAAAGCCACCTGGGATTCCCTGCTCTCGTATGTTTCCTATTCTCGGCACTCCCCCTCGCTCCACAGCTTGTTAACGTTAACCTACATAACCCATTACCAGCTAGCGTGCAGGCTAGCTAGCACACTTAGCTAACGTTTACTAGCGTCTTCCGCCTGTATGACAGCGTTGTTTTGGTCAACTAACAATGACTGGTGTACATGTTCCAAAACGTAACATTATGTCAGATGGATTTAACACACATTTTGTGGCCGCCATAATGCGTCCTCACGAGATTACACTGCAACCTTGCCGCTAACACTAGCCGACGCTAGCTAGGATGGGCTGCAAAACAAGACATTCTCGGCTAGCTAACATTAGCTCACGGTGCTCTGTCAACGTTTTTAACACACATCCCGACATGCTCACACCTCGGAGTTTAAGCCTGTTTTTACCTTCATGGCGGGACATCCTACGAACAGTAGCGTAGCCCCCTGCTCGGGCTCCGTAGCTTGCAATACAGAATATTATTAGTGAAGAGAGGAGAAGCCGGGGTTGGTTGGCTGTCCCTGGCCTCTTCCCTCATGAAGGATCCGGTCTGGCTCGATGCCCCCCCTCCGCCTGCTGTGTCACTGTCCGGTGTGTCGTTGCTCCGTCCACACGGTGGCGCTGCTGCCTCATCCGTGGAGCGAAGGGTAGTTTAGCTGGTGAGTGGCTGTGGACATTTAAATCGTTGTAATAATTGGTGGAAAGAAGTACTCAGATATTGTACTTAATTAAAAATAGAACTACCAGAGTGTAGGAATTCTCTGTTACAAGTCCTGCATTAAAAAAAGTACTTAAGTTAAAGTACAGAAGTATAAGCATCACAATATACTTAAAGTAGGCCTACCCAAAGTATAAGTAGGCCTACTCATGATGCAGATTGGTTAAAAAATATAATATTATGTCTGATTATAGTTATTGAGGCATTTATGTGTTTATCAAAGCTGGTAAAGGTTCAGCTCATTTGAAATACTTTGTATACTGCAGGGTAGCTTGTGGAGGTGTAACTAAAGGCTTATTTGAGTGGTAATTATATTTCACATCATTAATCCTTCTGCAAAATAACTTACGGTATTACATTAATTTAGTGGAGTAAAAGTACACTATATACCTCTGATTTGTAGTGGGGTATGTACAAAGCAGCAACAAATGGAAATACTCAAGTAAAGTAAAAGTCCCTCAAAAGTGTACTTAAAGGTGGGGTAGGTAATTTTGGAGAAACCAGCTCGAGTGCGCTAGAATTTGAAAATACACAACCGGAGAAAATCTGCCACTTCCTCACAGAGTCCCTCCTCCAACACACACGAACGCGCACATGACCAATGAGGGCACGAGATAAGTTTGTGCACAGATGTAAGGCTGACAGGCAGGTAGGCCATCCAGTTATTTTAGCCGGGCCGGCTGAAATGATTGGTCGTGCTTTTTACAGCGCTACGGCTTCAACAGATGACATTTTTTAATGGATTTTTTGTCAAAGCACTTAAGATATTCATTGCTATCGGGATGTTAAGAGTTAAGTGTATCTCGAGCCGGTTTCTCAAACTTACCTACCCCACCTTTAAGTGCAATACTTGAGTAAATGTACTCAATGTTGACACCACTGGTTAATAGAAAGTTCCATCTTTCTTAACCCACACACTCTTAGATTGGTTTCCCTGTTTCCTTGTGAAACGTATTGACTCTAGACATTTTGAGAATTCTCACTTACAAATAAACCTTGCAATTTATTTTAATTAACCTACAGAGGAATCATTTGAAAACAGTACTGTTTACAATCAAATCCATTTTAAATTGTATTTTAAAAAAAAGTTTTAAAATAGGCTACTTTTAATCCATGAATGGCATGTAAGTAACATAAAGAATAAATAGACCTTCGAAACTCAAGCTTTGTTCACACTTTGTGGCTCGTATCTGAAGTTATTTGGACAATAGCAGAATATAAATACATGAGTACAATGGTACATTAGATACATATGTTTAAATTACACTCCTGCTATTCCCTCAGAGCCTGCGTAGGTGATCGTTTTAGTATTTAACAGTGCCTCATTGTTAGGTCTTGCCAGGCAGACTGTGAAGGCAAAAATCAGAATAGGTCAGCAAAGTACAGAATCAAATTGGCAGTCAGAGCAAGCAGCTGGCTGAGGTGTGTGTGGATGGAAATACTAACTATTCCTGAACAAGAAATGCTACATTTGCTTTCTAACAACTATAAAGGCCAACGTCTGGTATTAGTTTTGGTCAAACAGACTTATTCTGGGAAGTGGTTGAGTTGAGTTCTGCTTTTTAGATTTTGGAAGAACTACAGAATTGTTGTTAAGCTAACTTTTAAATTAAGAACAGAGAGAACTTCAAAGGCTTTAATGCCATATGCACAATAGCTACAGTGTAGAAATGGCAAGTCCCAAGATAACAGGAGGATGGGATGTCAATTCAACTTGTATTTCAGTATATTTTGTTATAAACCAGATTTAATCCTTCTAGAAACATAAAAAACGATTGGTTCATCAGTCGTAGGACATAGTGTTATATAGTAGTTAAGATGTTTGCTATTTTAAGCCCCATGTGCTTAAGGACAGGTACAGTATATCATATTCCTCAAAGACCTTCCCTTGTTTCAAATTTCAGAATACACTCCACGTCCTTCATTGCAGCAATGACTACTGCCCTCCAGAGATTCCTGATGTCCGTGCATTAATCATCCTATATGAGTGAGCATAATGGGCCTTCACACGCTGCATTGCATCATCTGATTATTTGAACTCTAGTAACCTCTCAAGGTGCACCATCTGCCCTGTTTCCACAATAATACAGTATGGCTATAAATACATTGGTAAACATAGAACAAGTTATTTTGGACGCTCGTGCATCACACCACACTCTCACATTCCTTTGAACAATACATTTTAATTACGGAAAACGTTTGATATAAAAAAAAATGGAACATTTCTAAGTCAGCCCAAGTCATGTTGAAGCCGGAATAATTCAATGGATTTTTTTGCATTTCACATTTAAAGTACATTGTTGGTTAAAAAGAAAACACAATACACTAATGGCCTATTATTTATATTACTGTAATAGATCAAGGTGCCATGCAATCACTAAAAAGATTAATGTCTTATGGCTCTTGTACCTCATAAAGTCAATAAGCCCACTGACTGCACATTATCACCATTAGCAGGACATTGTTATCAGAGATGCTAAAAGCTGTTAAGATACCAGGGGCTGCTGGGATGGCAGGTGACACTTCCTCCTGACTACTGTCCAATGATGTATGTACACAAAACAGTGGTGCTATTGTTGCGGAGAGCCTTGCGTGAGTGCGTTCATTCTTCCTCTCATCAATTCAAACTGGTCGGTGAGCTAAGCTGATGGTTTGGCTGCGCGCCAGGCACAGGGGGCGATGCTTTCAGGGGGGAGGGCGCCACACACACACACACACACAGCCTTTTAAATGTTCCCATTAACGAGGGGGATTGTCGGTTTCCTACAAATTACACCGACATTGCCAGTGTTTATAAAACTGGTGTCACCTGACGTCAGTGCGTCTCATTAGCTTCGTGACTGTATATTGATTATTTACACATTATTTTGGATCCAGTTAGGTAACAAAATAAGCTCTCTGACCTTCATCCCACACAGCTACTGGAAACGTTTTATTGCGGCTTGCGTCAGTACACACCACCCACAAGGGTTAAAGCACGCTCAACGTGAGGAGCCTACTACGAATTCATTCAGCTTGCCACGCCTTCAACGTAAACAAATGGAGGCTTGACCAATAAGAATCACGATAGATCAGCCGATGATCAGATGACTGGAAAGGGGAACTATTTAAAACTCTAATGAGACACTTGATGCAAGTTTATACATTTCTTGAGCGGTGTAACACAGGCGCGCAACAAAACGCACCACGGGCTCTGTTGCTCTTTGTCACAACTGGATCTAAACTCAGTCACCTACCTACCCTCCGCGCAGCCACCGGCAATACAGAAAGATATTAGTATTTTCCCAGGAAGATTTTAATTCCACCACACTCGTCTGTGACTGAGAAATGAATCATAAAGCCCTTTTACTGTGGATTTCCCTACAGTGTGCTTTTACGCTTTTCTCTTCGGCTACTGGGGAAAACGCTGTTCCTATAGGTAAGAAATGGGCTTTGTGTCTTTTGTTCATTCATTTCTATAATTTATTTATTTCCCAGCTTCAGAGGGAAGTGTCAAAATCTAACATCGCGTATGTAAAGTAGGGCCAACAGGCGATTTTGTTAAACATTTGAATGAAACGATATTATAGCATAAACGTCCTATTTCCTCAAATTCTCCCCCGCTTGATTTATCTCGGCTACATGTATTGGCTATTAGGCGATATTACAAAAGCGAGCAAGTGTTGCGGGCAGAGCGAACCAGAAAAGCGGGGATGGATTTAAAGACTGCGACGTGTCCTTTTTCGGAGCAGCAGGAGTCTTGACGCAAAGCTCCAAGTGGAGGACACACAACGCCACGTCTGTGGGAACTATTTGGAAAGATGTTCCGCTGAATCCGCGTTTTACCGAGAACCGCTCACCAGCGTTTTTACAACCCAGCTGAAGTCATTTTGGTCTGTTTGGCCCACTACCAGAGGGTGTCGGGTTTATTTAAATTCAGATTTGACGTTGCTGCTATAGAGGCACGATTAATCCAGACTGGTTTGAATTAATGCTCCCCCTTTATTAAACACAAAGAGACCAATTGATAACTCTTCAGTTTGAAACCCCCGACATGTCTATAGGCTAATTAGAATGTTGATAAACTGTCAGCATCCTCTGAGCATTCAACGGCTTCATGCATTTGTCAAATGCTTTGATTGTACCGTTTTAGCCTCAGGCCTGGGAGCACACTGTGTTAAAGTCAGATATAATTAAACCAGCTCTGGCTGCAGCTGTGTGAAAAAGCGTGTGAAGTGAGAGAAGAGAAGAAGGGTGGCGGTGAGATTAGGGCTCTGCGCCTGCGTCTCGGGTACAACTTGCACTTTACCGGCATTATAGTACCAGATGTTGGCTGCAACAGCCAGTTGATTGGTTGACTCATTTCACTTCCTGTATGTGTGAGGCATGATTGGCTGAGTGCATTCAGAGCTGTGTTTTAAAATAATATATATTTGTTAAGGAGGTTACTGTTTTTAAAAATTATTAACAAGAAACAGGAATCAGAAAAGCGAAAGAGAAATAAAGTTAATTTTAAGCATATGCTAAATTTAATCTCAAAATCCTGTGTAACTTTCTTTCAGGTGAAGAAGGTGGAAAAGATGAACAGCCAACTGACAGCAAGGTTCTTGATAGCTCCGTCAAGTACAACATGAGGAAGAGTTTAGATTTTGACCATGAAGGCTGCTACCTGCAGACTGGCAAGACGGAACGTCTGGAGGAGTGTGGCTTTAACGCCACAGCCAAGACAATCTTCATCATCCATGGCTGGACGGTATGAGCTGAAATAATTGTGTATCATCGCTATATCAGTCCCTATCTTTCTCTACCTGGGTTTCTCTTGACAAGCCTTTCTTCTTACTGAATGAAGGGCATTTATGTGTTGGGTCTGTATCCAGAGCACTTTGATTGTTGGAATTTATCATGTGAATGTGAGCTAACTGAGTGCAGAGTGTCCAAGAGGTCATAAAGAAGTCTTGCTGACTGACTCCTGTTCTTTTTCTCTTTCAGATGAGTGGGATGTTTGAAAGCTGGATGCACAAGCTGGTGTCTGCTGTGATGCAGCGGGAAAATGAAGCCAATGTGGTTGTTGTTGATTGGATATCCCTGGCTCAGCAGCTTTACCCGGATGCAGTCAATCACACCCATGATGTCGGCCTCCACATTGCTAGCATGCTCAACTGGCTTAAGGTGTGTACAGTAATTTATTTATTGTTATACTTGCACTTGGTTTGCTCTTATAAATGCTATTATTATGTTGTGCTTAACCTGAATGATGAAAAAATTGGGGTTCTTTATCTAATTTATGGTGGAGGGGGTAATCTGATCTATCTTGGCTGTAAAGTCAGTACAGCTGCGTGACAAAAGAGCAGCCGAGTACCAATAAATCAATAAAATCTGCCCCCCTTCTGTCTTACCATTGGAGCGATTTTAAGAGACCACATCATGCTTTGTCAGAATGACAGTGTGTTTGATTAAATTATTATTATTTTCCCTTCATTTTGGATGTCTTGTGATCTCCCAAGTTGCTCCGAGGCAGTAGCTAAAGTTCTCTCTGGCACTTTGTCTTTACAGCTAATAGAACATAATACTTGATATTATCTAATGTGGATCAGGGTCAATTTAGTACTTTTGCGGCCAGGACAACAACTTCCATAAAGAGCACACTGTCACTTAATTGGACCGGTTCACACATTGCAATAGAGAGAGATTCAGGCACCCTGCCATGTGGTTGTAAATGTTGACAAAGAGTATTTCACTGGGGCAAAGTGAGACAGATGGTGGAGGCGCTGTTGCATGGAGGGGACTGTCAGTATTTTCTGTCCGGGTTAACTGAGCCTTGCTCAGCTGCAGGCACGACTGATCATCACTGGCTCTAATCCAGGATTTGTTCAGTGTTCGTGGTGTTCAGCTGCTGATGTGAGTGTTATGTTTTTATCTTACCAGGATGAGCAGCAGCTGCCTCTGGATAAAGTACATCTGATTGGCTACAGTTTAGGCGCTCATGTAGCTGGATATGCAGGGAAATTCGTACGAGGTTCCATCGGCAGAATCACTGGTAAGTTAGGTGAAATGTGATTACTCAATTAAAACTCCTCAGATATGCAGTTGTCCTGACCTTTTTTCGCTTTTATTCCTAATAGGTCTAGACCCAGCAGGACCAATGTTTGAGGGTGCTGAGGCACAGAAGCGCCTCTCCTCTGATGATGCCGACTTTGTGGACGTTCTGCACACATACACTCGTGAGGCTTTGGGTGTAAGCATTGGGATTCAGGGGGCAATTGGAGACATTGACATCTACCCCAATGGTGGAGAAGTGCAGCCCGGCTGTGCCCTGGGTGACGTCCTGGCAGTTGCTGGAAGTAAGTGCTTCAGAAATGGCTCTTTGTTTGTTTGTAGCCCCAGCTGTCCACAACAAGAGCTATCAGTTACACCACATCTGCAGAAAACAGGATTGACTTCACTACATTTCTTAGTTTATTTGGTTTATATAATGTCCATCTGCATAAAGGAGTCAATGATACTTTCTTAGTCTATATTGTAGTCTCTATTAATCTGTTTAAATAAAAGTCAACATAGTCCTATTCTTTAACTGTAGCCTAATGTACCTGCCTTCTCCTATTTCTCAAGATTTCATGGAGGTGATGAAGTGCGAGCATGAGCGTGCTGTGCACTTGTTCGTGGACTCCTTGATGAGCAAGGACCACATGAGCTTTGCCTACCAGTGCACCGGCCCTGATCGCTTCAAAAAGGGCATCTGCCTCAGTTGCCGCAAAAATCGCTGCAACAACATCGGCTACAACACCAGAAACTTGCGCAAGAGGCGCAGCGTTAAAATGTATCTGAAGACAAATGCTGACACTCCCTTTGGAGGTAAGTCACAATGAGATGCTTTGTGAATGTATTGCAGGTTTGATCTTTTACATTTTTATGATGATTACTTTCTTCTGTAAAACGACTGCATTATTTTACCTCCATATCTAACACATTTGATAATGCCGGTGTAAACTACTACTGTACACAGTTAGACAATGGATCAAACATGAACTCTGTTTTTATGTTTTCTTTAAGGCTACCACTACCAGATGAAGATGCACGTGTTCAACAGAAAACAGGCAGACAATGCCGATCCCACTTTCCATGTCAAGTTGTATGGAGCCCATAATGATACAACAAATATATTTGTTGATGTGTAAGTATAAAATGTAAAGCAAAAAAGCCTTTTATTCAACTTGCATGATGGGCCCTTAAACCGACATGCGCTGGTTTGGCCACTGTCTATTTGTATGCAGAAACTGGAAGCCACACTTCATGTTCATATTTATAATTACCCACACTGCCACGTTATACATTTGGATCTTGAACTTGCCTCCATTTTTAAACTTCCAAGCACATAGTCTTTTCTACTTTCAACTTTAATTTCACCGTACCATAGATGCAAATGCTTACTCAAAGTCTTTAAAGTCACAACCTTTGATGTAAGAGCAAGACATGGCATTAGACAGGCAGATTCTGTCTGCTGAAGTCACTCACTGCACTTTTTTAAATGTATTTTTTAGTAATTCCAAATTCAAAAGTTGATTTGAGCACACAGATGCTATAACTTCAGTTTGCTGGGCACCTGACTTACCCAATATCTCTTCCCTTTTGTGCAGCCATGATGAGATCATTGGTCTGAACCAGACCAACACCTTCTTGGTGTTTACTGAGAAGGATATTGGTGACCTGCTGAAGATCCGCCTCAGCTGGGAAGGAGATTCTGAATCCTGGAACTCTGTCTGGAAGAGCCTTAAGAAGAATATCTGGGCGTGGAATGTCAAAGCTCCCAAACCTGTGCTGGAAGTCCGGCGTATTCGTGTAAAAGCTGGGGAAACACAGAAAAAGTAAGTAACCACTCTTAAAAAAAAAAACAAAAAAAACAACCTTCATGTTATATTTTTTAATGGACAAATAATAACTGAGATTTCTTTTTTACGTTGTCCCAGGTTTACATTCTGTGCCGAAGATCCTGAAAAAACCCACATTTCACCGGGGGACTCTATCACTTTAGTGAAATGTCGTGATGGCTGGGAAGTGAAGCCAAGAAAAAGGTATGAAACGTGACAAATGTCTTGTCGTATGTCTTTTCAGAGTACTGCTTGATTATTATTATTTTTTTATTATACTGAATGATCATTACAAATGAGTAAATTAAACTTGCTTTTGTTTAACAGGCTTCTCATGTAACAACTTAGCACCTCCAACAACCAACGCACCATCACCATGGGAGACCCAACATGGAAACGCCGGAAACACGGCCTTCTCTTTATTTGAGCACTTTTCTAGGAGGAAGATTGATCGTGGCACAGTGGGAGGAGCTAGACTGGACTCTAACTGCGCCTGGAAGGTTTCTATTGGTTTCTGAAGACAAGGACTCCGGGTTATGGCCAGCACATACGAGATGGCTGAAAACAATGCGTAGGCTGGAAGCAAGGAGCAGTTCTAAATGTGTTTCAGAAAGTTACTTTGTGACTAGTGACGTAGAATACAGACCTGTGCCAGTGGACAAACACCAGCAAATAGTTACTGTATTGTACATTTTTAAATATTTTTTATTTATGAGAAAAATGGAAGCACTGCAAGACCAACGTAATTTATCAGAGAACATCCCATAATGAAGCATATGTTCAATGCATTTCTCCTGGATGCAGTATTTGTGTGTTTGTTTGTGTGCATTAATGTTGTTTGTGTCTGTTGTGACCAAGAAGTGTGCCTTTCTGCTGAGAGATTACTGATACACTGTATAACTGATGGAGATATCTTATCTCATTGCACACGATCTGAGGTTTTGTCGATAGTGCTATTGTTACTGTATGTGTCCTTTCTTTTAGGGGGGGGGGGGGGGGTTATGTACATAATGTAAATAACCTTTTTTTGGAAAAAATAAAATCACATGTTATTTGTAGAAACTATTTTGTTTGCTTGTCATTTCACCCATCACATGTTGGTCTGAAATCATGTTTCCAAGTAACTGGCTATGTAACCATCAGAAATGCAAACCTTGTTTTTAATGCGCCATTGTATTGTTTACCACCCATTTACCAATTTGAGAAATTATGAAGGAGTTACAGTTGAGAGACAATGATTTCACAAAGGGATTTAGCAAACCAGTTTACAGGCTAATTGTAGTATAAGTGTTGTCAGATTACAGCCGATGGATCCTGAAATTGCATTTCGGCCAAAGTGTTCTTAGCCTTTTCGCTCTCTAAACCCACTAAAAACCTACAACCTGCTCAATCTGGATTGGCCAAAAACCACTTGGATTACAAAGTGAAAATAGAAGGCTCAGAATACAATTTTGAGATTAGCTGTCATTCAACAGAAGCTCATTTATGCTCCCTCTCAACCGAAGAGAGTCTGAATCAAACACTAAATATTAACACCCGTTTTTAATCCGAAAGTATTTGTGATCACACAGGTTTACACATGATCTAGCAATATACTTATCTATCATATTTCAACATACAATGTCTCTCTTATAACACATGGTTGATTGTGAGTGGGGATATATCATGTAAGAACATTCCTGAGCTGTTATGACAAATTGGCATGAACTTCATGCCAGAAAAACTGGATCATTGAAACTCAAATATTTTGTGTCCCACCCTCCTCTGTCCTGTCATGCAAAACTGAAATACCTGGAAGATTAGTAAGGGGAGGTTTGTCTTCAAGATATTCTACACTACACATCCGGTGTTATGGATAAATTGTTTTGTCAGCTAAAACAAGGCAAGCCTTCATTTTTTCCCGTGTATTCTGGTTGTAGATCTCTTGTGAATCTCATTACAGCAGTTTCCCTCCAAGAAAACCTGCAGTAACCCCACAAGTCTGTCTGTTACTGGAGCTTTCGTGCCTCCATCCTAATAAACATACCACCCAGTGTTGGTTTGGTGACTCACTTGAGTTGTGTAGTCATGGAGCATCTTAACCACCCTGATGCCATCTGCCTACTACTTATGACCAACATGACATCTTTAGGGCAGCGCATGGTTGCCCAGTCAAGCTCATTTCCTGAACTGTAACCTATGCGTCAATATTAGGGGAGTAGTAGCAGTAAATAAGGGTTTTGAACGCTTTAAATGGTTATTTGACAAGCATATTTTTATTGAAGGTTAATTTACTATTTATTTTAGGATCTTGAAGGACCTCTCAAAGTCAGATGGGGTTTGTTAAGTATCACATTATTTTAAAATGGAACTCTGGCCAAATGATTACGGGTTGTCAGCGGAAAACTCGTGAAATTATGGATATTTTATTCAAATTGACTCCTTGAGGACTTTGACACAGTTGTTCCTGGAACTGGTGTTGGTCTGGTGTTTACACAAACCCACTCTGTTTCTGGTGTTTATTTAGCCTTGTGTCCATGTTCCACTACATGTTATGGATGTACTGTCCTTTTACATGTTTGTTTAAGGTAAACACGATTATTTGCATGTCTAGTTGCTAAATATGAAGCTATCATCAGATACCATCTCAATTAAAAAAGCACAAAAATGATAGGCCCATATCTGGGGGAAAAACCAACAGCATCTCTTAAACTCAATAATTCAGGTTTACATTTAATTTGGTTAAACTGTACAAAACAACGTTGTCAATTTACAGTTTACCTCACACAATTTCATGCTTCTGAGTTAAACGCTGGACAGGTGTTAGTACATCAATCCTTTTTCCTGATTGAGGCTGTCCTGGATTTCAATTAGCCGCTATCAAGAAATGATTTGAACCAGCTTCTTGGAAATTGGCTTTGGTGGATAATTTGTTAACAAATATAATCCAAGATTCAAATAGGAACAAAAGTCTGAACCCAAACTCCAACCAAAATTCAGATTCTGTTTGGAACCCAATCATATTCTTGATTGACAGGTATTCTTGTACATCAACTAAAACTAAATCTACATTTAAAGTTTCTGTTGCTGGTAGAGCTTAGTGTAACACGACAATAAATGCATAGATTTCAGATACCATGATGAACTTCCATTAATAGACACACAGGAATGTTTCAAATGTGTGCCGCCAAAAAAACTCTTAAACGCGGCTGTTTTGTGTTGGCTGTGTCAGGACCTCGACACAAACTGATGGACCCAAATGCACGACCCAGAGACAAAGTCTTAAATATAAAAAAGTATCTTTAATTTCAAAGATCAGGAAATTCCTTTTAACAGAGTAGGTACTGGAATTAACAAAAAGCACTCACAAGGAGGAAAAACTATGCATAACAAAAAGAGAACTTAAGAAAGAAACTTAAGCCTACAAAATGAACAAAACCTGACATGAGTGAAAGCAAACTTTTCTTAGCTGAGGCTTGGCACGACCATTCGGGGAAGCAAACAAGACGAACTGACACAGGACAGTGGAGAGACAGGACTATTTAAACATGAGGTGAGTGGGAACAGGTGGAAACAATCAGGGGTGGGGAAGACACTGATGATGGCGGGAAAAACAAACAAGGGGAGGAAGAACCAGGGCCTGAAATGAAAGACAAGAGGTAAGTACAAAATAAAACAGGAAATGGAAAACGAGACATGACAATAAACACAGAGAATGACTAGAGATGAAGGATCTAAATAAACGGCAGACATAATACATAAACATAACTAACACATTTGACGAGACACAACAGGCTGCTTTAATTGTTAATATCTTTCATTCATTTGATGATAACTTGGCAGCCCATCTTCACTATAAATCATCCCAATGTTTTGATGTTTTTGCTTTATGTCTCTAGTTCTGAAGAATTACAAGATTCATGGGAACTCCACCAACTACAAATTAAAACTGATACCTGGCAGACAAAGATCTAGGGGGTTTTGTTAGCAGTAACCACAACGCCACAGAAGTTTAATCACATGATCGAAAGAGATTTATGACAAACCTTTTCAAACCAACAGTGGGTTCATGTCGTGAGAAGGAGGGAAATAAGCTTGAATGAGGTTGCACATCTAAATGTTTCTGTTTCAAGGTCCTTGATGCAGTGTCTCAATCATTGCTTCCAGATTTCTTAGTGCAGCAGGCCATGAGCGGCTCTGTGTTGCCGGTTACCCCGGTGCCACGTGCCTGGCAGATGAAATGGTGGTGGTGCACGCATGTTGGGATGTTGGCTCAAGCACACCGTAGTCCCGACCCTACCCTTAGGTTCAACAGCAATGTGGGGGAGGCGGGGAAGGTCACCTCACCAAGTCCCTGCTGTCTATGCACGCACAGAGAGACTAAAACAACAAAGGATGTTTCTCAAATGTTTCATGACATCACAGCAGTCACAGTGGAAAAAGCTTTCAGCTGAGCCGGCTGTCGAGCTGTACTGTACTCATACATTGCCAGCTGAGTTATTGTGGCATGCCCGTAAGTGTTTGGCGAGAGTTGAAAGCAAGGAGGTCACATGGACTTCTCTGTGTTTCCAGGAAAGACGCTCTCTAAATCCTTTAGGAATTTGAGAGGCGAAAGGGTTGAAGGTGGACCTGACATTTTTTCAGGGAATATATTATTTTAAATATGATTGGACAGCTCCATTGGATAATTGATATTGTTTCATATATTGTTTCATATATAACGCTGATAAAAAGCTGGACCTGTGGAGGGTTACACAGGTTAAGTTTGCCTTGAAATGTTAATGGCACAAATAGCGTCTTTTTATTTCCTTATGATTATTCAAGAGATAAAAGGGCAATGATTATATTTTCACATCTTGATGTATTCGACACTCACTGAAAACAGGAAGAACAACAGTTAGACCCGACAGCCATGATCTCATCATTTTGAGTCCGTGCTAAACATTAACTTCCCCTTCTTGCAGCGATTGGCAATGCAGAAGCGAGAAGGCTGGCAGTTTGAACTTTTCTCTAGAGCTCTTTTATACATTTTGGTGCAAAACAATTGCAACAATATTTTTTAGATATTTAAACATATATTTGCTCACCAACATTCTGTTTTCATTTGGCCTTCATGAGCCATTTCTGAACAATGGTAATCCATTTGATTTGGGTTGGATAACCTTCAACCATTTATTTTTCAGTGAAACCTTACTCTTAGACACATATTAATCCTCTAGTTTAGCATCTTAGCATCCAATCAATTGCAAATATAATGTAGAGCTGAAGCTGATGGGATTTTGAGGTTATTTGATTCCTAACCAAACTTGCTAAAATTGAATCCAGGTGATGGTGGTAGACAAAACGTCTATGAATAACCACATTTTGTACAATTCAATCAAAAAGGGACATGAATGTTGGTACCAAATGTCATGGCTATCCATCCAATAGTTATCAGGAACATTTCACTCAAAATCCATCTCCTGGGAACTATGAATGTATTTACCAAATTGCATGTGATCCATCCTATAGCTGTTTAGATATATCAATTTGGACCAACGTGTTAGATTGACCTATCCCCTAGTGCCAGCGAGTTAACATTTCATCTCCTTTTACATTTGAAAATAGCCTGAAGTTGATGACAAGCTTAAGGTTTACATTTGGATGTACCTGTTCTAAATTGTTGTTCTAAATATCTCCCTGTCATATTTATCATCGTGCCCTTTACAATGATGTCATGACGTCAAAAGCAAAGTACAGAACTGAGTTCACATGCAACAGAACTGCTGTTTGCGTATTATTATTAACCAATCATAAATAGTCAACCAAAATGAGACATCACATGTTTCAAGGTCTTATGTTTATGTTTTGACCATGCACGCCATGTTTGTTTACAGGCGGCTATAATTACACTGTCACCTTGTTCTATGTATGTAAGGGTGGGCAATTTTCCACAAATCCCTTCAGCTGCTATTAGTGCAAAACGTGATCCCACTGTTATGGTGTCACATACGTTTCCTTTTTGTTAACCTCTTCTGTCCAGTGAGTGCCGTGCTATGGGATGTTGT